AAACGGCTCCAGCGATTTTCATCATTCGATCTAGCTAGGTTTCATTTTTTAGAAAATGTCCTTTTATCCCTGTTTTCGGGGAATGAAAAATATCATTCGAATATGACAGTAAATTTCGCCGGAAAAAAAAATGTTATAATAGCTCGGTCGGTAATCGGGCGGCCCCGAAACAGACGGCCGCGGTTCGTATCACGATCATTTACACACTTATTTTTTATACCAGATCATTTTCTTTATTTTTTTTTATTTCCAAAATACATGATTTACCAAAAAAAAGGTACTAATAAATAAATGGAAGAATAACGTAATAATGCTATTCTAAAGATTATTTGTTTGTTATATGTTTATTACAAGAAGATTGCAACCTTATTAACCAAAAACAACAACAACTAGAATAATTCCTACGAACATTTTGGGAAGTACCACTCCCTCACGGAAGACCAGAGTAAAGAGGAAGTATTAAACATTCGCGTTTCGTCTGGTGACCGAGGTAACCGGTGCCAGCTTTTTAAAGATGTAAAGGATGCGTTGACATGCATATGCTAGCCATCGGTTGTTATAGAAGATATCTATGGGCGGCCGTATTCACTTAACGTCAGGTGAAACAGTCGCTACCCGCTTGAGAAATTTCGACATAAAAAATAATAGCTTAGAATTCAAGAGGTTAATACGAATGGATCAACCGTGAGACTTTATTGACCCGTGGCAGTTGTGGACAATGCGTGAACAGCAACAAAACGACGTACCGGCCGATTTGACGAGCACAATATTGGCTTGGTCCGATCTGTACGATCTATACGGTTAGAGTTCGTTGACCCTTTTGTAAATGCCCCAAAACCAATTGGCCAGCTCCCTGAATCGTGTCGAAATCGGCTCCTAAATATATTTTGTTCGAGTACCGACTTATTTAATGTTGAAATGTTTCTCTTATCTCACCAAATCTTACAGTTATTTATTTTTTATTTTATGTTTTGTCGACAAAATTAAAACATGTTTTATTTAAGTCAACAGTCAGTAAAAGATGTTCCCTTGAACAGTCTTTTTTTATTGATCGCTTGGAAAACTGCGACACTGGAAAACTTGAGTTTTATAGCGAGAGAATGATGTTCCAACTATGCGATTTGGATGAAGTTTAAGTTTTTTGCCGTAAATTTGAATCCGATGAGATTCTGTCCCACGTATTTTTGGCAACAAAAATATATTAAACATGTTATCATATATTATGTACTACAGAAATATTTGTACAGTATTTCTTTCGGTGTCAGGAACACATTTCTTGTGATCCTTAGGTAACCGAGATATTCTTTTCCTGTTTCAGCAAAACTGCTGCCTTGTTATAATCATTCAGGCTTTGTTTTATTGCAATAATTGTAAAGATCAAGCGTTTATGCGCATCCTTAAAAAGTTGTTTTTTACCGAGTTGAAAAAGTTACTCGATAAAAGGTGAAAAGAAATCGTTTCAGAAGCCTTAAGCCTCCCCCATAACAGCGAACAAGAGCTAACAAAAACTTTTGCACCTATTACTAAGTCCGTTTACCAGCTATTCGCTGAAAGTAACTTGACGGTGTGGGGCACGCCGCCTATTAAGATGCAACGGCGACCCTCACTACACCATGTAGGGCTGCCGGCACGCGCTCAGACTGACCTTAAAGGGGGAGCACACGATACCCTAGACTCCGATTATACTTATTAACGGTGCGCCTTTGTATATGATGACTGGCGGTGACTATTCGCTGATCGATATGCAGGCAGCAAAGTTATTGTCTATCAAATGACGCAATGCATCGCTGTATGTATTGTAGTCCGTGCTCATAAATGATACTTTCCACCGAGTGGTATCCATTCCGTGTGACCACGTGATATTTATGTATGCAAAACCTCCTTACAATAAAGGATAATGTTATCCTACAGTAAGGGGGTAATGTCTTTTTTTATGTGAGAATGTGGCAAGCGAGCTGGCGGTTCACCTGATGTTAAGCGATAATCGGCGCCCATGGACATTTGCAACACCTGTATACAGATGCGTTGCCACCTTTTAATAAATTGGGCCCTGGCTACCACACTCACCAAACTAAATGCGGAAGTATAACACTTCCAATTCCCAACTGCCTATTCTTGCAACAGCCGAGGCTGTTGCGTGGCCCTACCGCAGTTATTTTCGAAGAAACTAAAATAGATTCTAATAGGTCGCATTGGCCGTTCGGACTTACTACCCAACCTCTTCCATACAAAATACAAATCCATTGCGTCTGCGAAATATCACGGGTTGATGGCGGAACGTATTTATCCGTTTCCTTACAGCGAGAACAAAATTCGTGCGAGTCATTGTGCAGTTTATAGCTATGGTTACTTGCAGGGTGGCTAAGTGGGAGTGTATTGGCATCGCGTTTGCACCGCTACCAAATCTTCCTCCTCCCCCACGTCGATTTCAGAAGCGAATAGCTTTGCCATCCGATTTTGTGAATTGATACTGTATAGATGTATTTCTCGATAACCACTTACTTTCTCATTCGAAGACATTCTCAGAACACGAGGGTGCAACTTTACTGCAAAAATTACTTAAACCCAATAATTTAGCTCAGTTAGTCAAAATTTCTGACAAATTATCTACAAAAAACGTTTAAGTGTCCGCCGTTGCACGAATGGGCAGGTCCATCCGAGTAAGTACCACGACCTCACAGTAGGCCGGCGTGAAGTAACAGTTTTACATTTCTGCGTGAAGTAACAGTTTTACATTTCTGCGTGAAGTAACAGTTTTACATTTCTGCGTGAAGTAACAGTTTTACATTCTGTCTGGTGAGTGAGGGAGCCGGGGCACACTTAATTAAAAGGTGGCACCGCATCTGCAACCCTTCGAGTGTTGCAGATATCAATGGGCGGTGGTTATAATTTAACATCAGGTGAACCGCCAGCTCGTTTGCCATCTTCTCACATAAAAAAAACTAAAAAGGAATATCATGTTGTCATATAGCTTCGCGGAATGTCTTGGATAATCATTTGATCCCGGTTTTCGGAATCCCCGTATGAAGTCTACGCGATAAGAATAGATAAGGTTTAATATTCATTTAAACAGTGCCTAATTAATAGCTCTTGTATTAATTGATGTTAACGCTTTCAGTCCCGAGACTATTAAAGCTTCATCGAACGCAAAACCGGTGGGCTAGCCAGAACCCACGGGTTTAGATTAATAGCTATTAGCGACGACAACCCTTAAACTAGACTTTATAGAGTAAGATACTACATCGCTCGAATTTAATTCGTATAGCCTTCCCGTATATCTGGACTTTTCAACTGCCTTGAAAACAAGGATATTCTCAAGTCTGTTCTATTTTGCATTTATGTTTATTACCTCAAAACTCCGTCATTTATGAAATGATTTTTTTATATTTTTGCATTGTCTTTGGTTTAGCTCCCATGTTGACATAAATTTCATTGGTAATAAACCATGGACCGGGATGTATATGAAGGAACCCCTAGAAATCAAATAGGTGTGTAATGAGTGAGATGTTATGTCATTTATGTTTTTTCTTAATAAAAAATTACTTTTCACGTCAACTGGTCCTCAATTAGGAACGTGTTGTTGTATCTGCACACAAATTGTTCGATTCCCAACTATAATAAAATATGTTGTTAAAATATGTACATGTTGTTCAGATGAATATCATCTATCTACACTTGATCATTTAGAACATTATAAGACAAGTGAGTTAACATATGGATCGATTTTAATCCAATTCATAGGATTCCATACGAGTGCTATTAAGCTTGAAAGTTTAAATTGATTTACCTTCATTAGCATTGAGAAATAACGTTACGGCAGTATTCCGACCTCACCGAAGACTGGCGTAAAGTAGAAGTGTACTTCTGCTTTTTGTCTGATGAATGAGGTAGCTGGGGCCCATTTTATTAAAAAGTGGCAACGCATCTGCACTACGAGTGTTGCAAATATCAGTGGGTGGTGGCTATCCCTTAACATTAGGTGAACCGTCAGCTCGTTTGCCAGCTTCTCACTAAAGTAAAGTAAATACATATCCCACTGCTTAGCAAAGGCCTCCTCTGTACAGAGGGTATCAGGGCATAGTCCACCACACGGCCTCACTGCGGATTGGCGGACTTCACACATCATCGAAAAGAGACCACTTCTCTAAGACAAAAGATTATCAGGCTTTTACTGTGCTTTGTGTTTCATACTGAGCTTGGGTTCTCAACACCATCAGTGAAGCAGTTATTAAGTGAAAAGGCTTTCTTTAAACAAACCGGTTTTAAGTTTTATCACAGTAATTGAGAAAGTCAATTTAAAGTGTATGTAATATTATCACCTGCGTCTGCAACCGGAATGTATTTTAATTTTACTACAACGTTGGTCACATGAAATGGGGTCGATGAAATCGTGTGCAACAAATCTGGTAAATCAATCAATAAGATTTAACGCGAAACTCGATTTGTTATCATTTATTGGATCTCTACCTACTTTATTACCATATAATTATTAGGTACTTATATTTACATGTCACAAAAATATTAAGTAAATTTTCATTAGCACTACTATATAAATAAGGCCTCCGACTAGTTTATTTTATTTACGATCTAGGGTGTCACTCACACGAGTCATTATTTAGCTCTTAAATAACATAAGAAACCGCAATCACTTATTAAAAAGACAGCAATTGAAACCTGAATGAATTCTACATGTGAGTGTGGCAGCAGTCGGTTTTAATTTATTCAAATGCGACGCTATTGGTATAGCGCAAGTAACTTTAATTAATAATTAATTTAACGGCGCTGAGTAATTGTGTTACCGCCGCATTGTGTCATAATATTGTTCTTATGACAACTTCCATGACCTGGATAAGAACGGAAAAAATTACTGACAACACTTCACGCAACGTTCAATATCGTTGAATCGGTATTTGCGACCTGGTTCCGCTCTCCTTTTTATTAAAGGTCGTATCTGTGATTAATTTTCGAAGCCTACCTTGCTTATTTAATATCGTTATCATATGATTCTGTGAGTTTTAGTTTTTAATGACTACGCTTTAACACTTAACATTCGCCAGATGTTGATATCGATTAATTTCTTATGTTTACTCGACACATTTAGAAAACTGTGTGTAAATGAAACAATAATAAGAATATAATATAAGCGACTCGATACATGCAAAAAAGCTTTGCATATCCTGTCATCCCAAAAAAACATGCCCCATAACACACCGAAACCCACAATTTACAGTAAATTTATCATTTTTTTTTAGTTAAAGAAATCAAACTTTAAATGTAACAGCCATTTCAAAGGTCAGTTTAGATATAATTTAAGTGACCTGTTATGACCTGACCTATTAAGCACTTAGAGAAATTGGTAAGTTTTCTTACATGCATACACAGTCTTAAATCTCTGTGCATTCCATTGCAAAAGAGTTAATGATAAAAATAGGTGTAGTAATAGTAGGTGTAGCATAATTGTAATTCATTCAATAACAAGCTAATAAACGATTGAAGTTTTACATTATCATTTCCTGTACTCAGTTAGATTTTCTAAGAATTACTTAAATTTTTAGCCGTTACGCTTTACGCACACTAGAGCACTCCATATTTTAAATCCAATTGAGATCATACTAGCATATTTACATTCATTCTGTGGACACCCGTCATGCGTTTTCCAATGCCTTCGAATTAATTCAAAGATCATTTCGTACAAATCTAAATCATTTTAGCACGGTTGCAACTATTTCGTACAACAGTAACTAACGTTGATAAAATTTCAGTCCACATGTATCACCAGAAACAGCAAATCCGTCTACATCGAGCCTTCAGACGTCGCTCACGGAGGAGGCCGATATCATGAGACAGAACGAAGAAGAGAACAATGTTGCCAAGGAAAAAGAGGGCTCCGTCTCCGACTGGATCACGGGGGGCCCGATCGGCTCCAAAGCGGCCGTCCTCGTGTTCAGATCCTGCGTCCTCGCCTCCCGCACGCCCTCAATGGAGTCGGCCACGAAAACCGTCGGCAACAACACGGGCAACAACATCTTGCTAAACAAAGCCAAGAACATGGCCAAAAGACTGGTATCCGAGCCGCACTCGTTCAGCGTTAGACCGAAAAACATAATGCACGACGTGATGGAGACGTTCGGCACCGGCAACAAGTTCGCCGGGCAGGCGTACGTCGTGAGGCACGTCAGCAACAGCGATGTGCCGGAGTCGGTTCCAGTGGAGGAGCAGGGCCACGAGGCGGCCGAGCACAAGAGGGACATCGACGACGTGCTCAACGACCTGGACAAGATCACGCTGAAGAAGCACCTGGACATCGAGAACACCACAGCCAACATCAAGCCCCCAGATCCACCTCCAGTTGATAAAGGTTAGATTGTGATTATCAATAAATAATCGAACATTCCCAATGAAGACCTGGTTTTGAGACTTGATTCTATCAATTTGCAGGAACATTGTCATTTAGACAATATTATGAAACAAAAAATTTAAAAATATGATATTTCTATGGTAGTGTATACATACATATATATATATATATATATATATGTATGTACCTCGCTCTTTTGATTTCTCTTCAATCGTAACTTCATCACCACCCAAATTAACTGATTATGACACCGATAGTCCATAATAAAATTAGTTTCGTTATTGTACTGTACCTAATATTACTTTAATAAATAATAATAAAATATCTTTATTCACATAGACGCTTGCGCGTTCTTATGAAACGTCAAAATTTTACAAGAAATTAACACGTTCGTAAGTTACTACCGGTTCGGAAAGCAGTTTCTGTTGAGAAGAAACCGGCAAGAAACTCAACAGTTGCTCTTTTTTAAAAAATCAGTTTACAATATAATAGTACAGGTACAATAGTCTTGTTTTAGCCTACGTGAGTATCAACAGTATTAACCCCACACATTGGCGTCGTCAAGATATTCGGCAATAGTATAATAGGCTTTAGCCATAAGTTTACTTTTAATTTTTCGTTTAAATTCATCAAGTGGCAGACTTAATATCGACTGTGGGATTTTATTAAACATGCGCACACTTTGCCCCATGAAAGACCTGTTTACTTTTTGTAGGCGAAATAATGGCGTAGTTAGTTTGTCCTTATTTCTAGTATTTAGTTTATGTCTGTCACTATTCTTTTGATAATTATTAATATTCTGTTTAACATACAAAATATTACAATAAATATATTGAGACGCAACAGTGAGTATATTAATCTCTTTAAAAAGATCTCTGAGTGTATTCCGGGCTCGGACAGCCCTTTTTTGAATAATAAATATTGAATTTATATCAGATGCATTACCCCACAACAAAATGCCGTACGACAAGATGCTGTGAAAATAACTGTAGTAAACAAGTCTGGCAGTGTCGATGTCTGTTAGCTGCCTAACCTTCCTAATTGCAAAAACAGCGGAGCTTAACCTATTTGCAAGAGATGATAGATGGGGACTCCATTGGAGCTTTGAATCTACTGTGATTCCCAAGAATACAGCGGACTCAACAGGATTAAGGGTTACGCTATTCAATTTTAAGCTAAAACTTCGCCTTCTTACGTTGGGAAGGCAAAAAGAAGGCATTTGGTTTTTTTAGCATTTAACACCATATTATTAATGGTAAACCAGTGGAGGATACGCGAAAGTGCACTATTCACGTCGTCATAATTCGACACGTTTCGGTCAACCTTAAAAATAAGCGATGTGTCGTCAGCAAACAGTACAACATCACATAACTCACTGGCATAAAAGGGGAGATCATTTATACATACTAAGAATAATAATGGGCCCAAGATTGATCCTTGTGGGACACCCATTTTCATGGGGGACCCTGCGGAATTTACATCATTTATAGATACTTTTTGAATTCTATAACTAAGGTAAGAGGCAATGAGATTGAGGGCGATGTCACGAATGCCACAATAATCAAGCTTTAGAAGGAGGGTTTTGTGATCCACGCAGTCGAAAGCTTTTGAAAGGTCGCAAAAAAACACCTATTGCATCTTGCGACCCTTCCCAGGCGTTATAAATATGTTTGACAAGTGCGATACCCGCATCTGTTGTCGATCTGCCTTTAGTGAATCCATATTGCTCATTGTGAAAATTTTTGTTCATATTAAAATGTACTAAGAGCTGATTTAAAATTAGTTTTTCAAAAATTTTACTCAGAGATGGCAATATGGAGATAGGTCTGTAGTTTCCTGGATCATTTTTATCCCCACTTTTGAAGACGGGGATTATCTTACTAAATTTCATAAGATCTGGAAATATTCCAGAATCTATGCAGTTGTTAAAAATATTAGCTAAATGTGGTGCAATATATGGCATTATTGTGCTCATTAATTTTATGGACATGCCCCATAAATCCCCTGTATTATATCATAAGTATCTACATGATTAAATTTAAATGTCTGTGGACAAAAGGTAACATTATTTCTTAAAACGTTAATTGCATCTATGGGAGATGATTTTAATGTACATGTGACATTAACTGCAATTTCTGAAAAATAGCTTTCAAAACTACTTGCAATTTCATTATCTGTTGTTATGGGAGTATTACCTATAACCAGTTTTATAGGTTCCCTGAATATCTTGGGTCTTCCAGATATACGGGTAATGTGGCTTTAATTTTATTGTTTGAATTTATTATTCTATTTCTTATATGAATAGATTTTGCCTGAATACAGACTTTTTTAAATATTTTGGAGAACATTTGTACCCTTTTATGAAAGTTGGGGTCATGATTCCACTGCCTCATATTATATAATTCATACAGTGAATCCCTACTTTTATATATACCCACTGTTGCCCAGTCACAAAATTTTAATTTTCAATTTTTAACAATTGTGCGCGATTTAAATACATCATTATAAGAAGATATGAGAAAGTCAACCATTGATTTATAAGAATCATTAGGGTTATTGACTTCTATATCTTTATTTAACATATGATGTGCCACTTTGTCTTTAAAAGAATTTATTCTATTAGTAGTGACTGGTCTACACTTGATCTTATGTTTGCTTGGAATAACTTTTTCATTTATTGAAAATTTTAAACCAAAGTGGTCAGAGCTCAGATAATTTATAACATATTTATCATATACATTATCGTGGCAGAAAACTTTATCTATACATGTGGAGGATGAGTTAGTGACACGAGTTGGTTCATGAAAAATATTATTAAGTTTTAATGAACTAAATAAATTTAAAAGTCGTTTACTAAGATGTGTCACTTGTAATAAATCCACATTAAAATCTCCACAAACTACTACTGATTTACTACTTGAACAGAGTTTTTTTAAGTACATCATCCATTACACACTCAAACAGATCGAAATCACCTGAGGGGGGTCGATACACGCATACTATAATATACTGTTGACTCTCAACGCAGGATAATTCTATAGAACGTTCGACAGAGTGTGCTACTATGTCCTGTCGATTTTTACAGACTATATCAGTTCTTACTAACACAAGAGAGCCACCGCGAATAGCATTTGCTCTTACGAACGAACTTAACAATTTATAGTTCTCTATATCTATAATATTAAAATGCTTATGTAACCATGTCTCTGTGAAGCAGATGACATGGATGTTAAATCTTCTAAGAAACAGCTCAATTTCAGGTTCTTTGCCACCTATGCCTTGTATATTTTGGTGTACAATATTTAATTTAAGTGGCTTAGGTGTTGTCTCAATGTTTAGTTTAAACTAACATTGTTTTTTGTAAAATTATTGCTAAGTAAAATGTTCTTAGTTGTACAATGTACAACTGGGTTTTGTATATTATATGCTACTAAAGTAGCAATTATTTTCTTATAATATAATGGCAAATACCAAGTATTTTTTGTCACCTTAAAACTAGACTTAATAAAACTATTTATGTCAAATAAACTTTGATAATATACTTACATATTGTATCGCTTCATTTATATAACGATGTATAACGTATTAATATATGTTTCAAAGTGATATACGTATAATTTTAGAGAACAAAGAAGATAGGAAGATAAAGAAAACCAAAGCGAAGAACAGGCGAAAATCGCCCCAAATCCTACGAGCTTTGTCACCTCAGGACAGCGAAGACTCTGAAAACTTATTAGTGAAAGTTGACAGTGTTAAGGTACACAGAAATATTTCGATTAACACGAATAGCTTCGCGTAAATGCAGGATCATGAGCTTTGGTTTTTTTAGGTGTTAGAAAGCAGCCACATGCCAGCTAGGATCCTAAAGATCACCTACAAGCTGGTCAATACGGAGACCAAACTCCTTCATCGGTTACTGCAGGCGCACGGATTGCAAGAAGCAACAGGGGACTCAAAAGACTTCAATTTAATGTGGGCAGGATTACATCCGAAACCTGACCTTTTGAGATCCCTGAGCCCCTATCAGAGGGTTAATCACTTCCCACGGTAAGTGTACATTACTAACAGACGTACGTAGCTACCATTCCAAAAAATTATCCTATCAGCTTTGAAGACTTTGGATTCTGGGTCTTTGGAGTTCGTGGGTTTTCATTTCGATGATCATTAGTAAAGAACTATATCTAACAACTTAATTGGATTAAATTCATCAAAACCTTCGTCTTGCAATCTGGTGTACATTTCTCCCTAGCGATAAAGATACTAAACAGTAGCGAACTCAACTTAGAAATTGATTTAGATCGTACGAGTTGACCCGCAAGGACAAGTTGTTCAAAAACATAGAGAAGATGCAATACTTCCGCGGCGTGAAGAACTTCGACTTCATCCCCACAACATTCCTCATGCCTACGGAATACAAGGAGCTGTTGACGACACATTATAGGACGAAGGGACCGTGGATCGTCAAGCCGGCCGCCTCCAGTCGAGGCAGGGGTATCTACATAGTAAACAACGTGAGTTACTGCTGGTATCCGACCTATATATTGTTAGCGGTTAGGGCTTCCTAATTGAAGTAAGTCACCGGTTTTCAAATCTTCACTTTAATCCCTCATTTTCATTACTACAAGCCCTCGCGTGTTATTGTACCAATCCTCCGCGAACGAGGTTCCCACTTGTAATACACTTTTCACATCACTTTATTCATTTTTCCTTTCCTTTTTCCGCTTCCATCCTCTTCGAGTTCGACCACTGAACTGCCCGTTTAGCTTGCTCTGGACCTCTTTTATAGGCCGTCTTTTCGTCTAATGCGTTCTGAAAGCGTGTTGAATGTCGAATGTCTTTTTGGATATAATTTTCTGGATTCAGGGCCTGAAAATACGGTTTTGGAATACGAACCTTCAAGATTCAAGACCCCGTCATCGGAACAATAATATCAATGTTACATTGTTCTTTATTAGCTATGGCATCTGGGATGAATGTGTAATCTTAAGCAAAATGGCTTAAGTTTATTTGAGAGTTTCTTTAGTCGGCATCTTCTCATGTACAGTTGCTTTGAATCCGCAAAGATCGGTAAAATGTTTTCGCAGCCGGAGCAGATCCCCAAGGGGGAGAATGTTGTGGTGGCGAAGTACATCGACAAGCCGCTCCTGATCGGCGGCCACAAGTGCGACCTGCGGCTGTACGTGTGCGTGACGTCGGTGGACCCCCTGCTGATCTACCTGTACGAGGAGGGGCTCGTGCGCTTCGCCACCGTCAAGTACGACAAGAGCAACAAGAACCTGTGGAACCCGTGCATGCACCTGTGCAACTACAGCATCAACAAGTACCACACGGACTACATCAAGTGAGTTGGGGCGGGGGCGGAACGAGGCCGACGTTGCGTTCCGGTTGTAAAATGGGTCGGACGCGGCAGGTGCTCGGACCCGCTGGCGGGCGACGTGGGCCACAAGTGGACCCTGTCGGCGCTGCTGCGCACGCTGCGCGCGCAGGGCCGCGACACGCGCGCGCTCATGGCCGCCGTCGAGGACCTCGTCGTCAAGTCGGTGCTCTGCTCCGCGCACACCATGGCGGCGGCCGCGCGCGTCTTCGTGCCCAACCTCTTCAACTGCTTCGGTGAGCCGCCACCGCTCCTCGCCACACTCGACACTACACTCATTCGTTCACTCCTCCTGCAATAGTTGAAGTGCCAATCGTCCCCGTCCCTTTTTTTTGACCAACTTCAAAAGGAGGACCCGATTCTGATTATTCTTTTTTTATTTGAAAGCTGCTGCTTCCCATGTGGTCCCGTATTAATTTCATTGGTTTTGGATCTTGGGCTCCGGAGGTATAAAATGAATATAGAGCGAGATATTTGAAGTCGGTTTTGTTTTTCGTTAATAAAAATAGACTTGTTTAAGAAATGACGCCAGGATGGATTAGTCTCCTCTTTCCAGTTATCCCCGCACGCGGGATAAACCGTAAAAGTATGTATTTGTCTTAGTCATCTCAGTTTAGATTCTCCAGAAGCCTCTGCGTTCATTAATATACCACAGGTAACAGTGAAGTCGCAAAATAAGTATCGTTGATTGAGCTTCTTACGGTGGATTAGATTACCTCAAAAAATTTCATTATATAATTTGTTTTAAATTGTTAATATTTTCGGTGCATATTTCGAATCTACCTCGCAAAATGCTATAAACTATTGAAACATATCGTGTCATGTGTACTTTTTCGTCTTTCCAGAACTCTTTGGCTACGACATCTTGATTGATGACAATCTGAAGCCGTGGCTTTTGGAAATAAACCTATCGCCCAGGTAAACATACATTTTCTTCTAGTTTAAGGACTTCTACTGTTAAAAATATAACGTCCCTTGGATCGTACAATGCGTTGCCGACTTGAAAGACCATGTACCGGAGTATTTGGTGCAGCCTCGCGTGCGAGAGTCCGCTGGACGCGCGCGTCAAGTCGGCGCTGTTGGCGGACACGCTGACGCTGGTGGGGCTGCCCGCCGTGCCGCCGCCCACCGGCGACGCCGCGGGCCACATCAACTCGCTGCGCATGCGCATCGGGGCGGTAATACTGAATATTATACATATATATAACTCAAGTTGTCTCTTTTATGTTTTGTATGACTGGCTTTAAACGGTTTATTAATGTCTAAACAAATGGTATATTAAAATGGTAAACAGAACGTATCAAACAAATACTGTGAAAAGTAATTGGTTGGTGGTACATATAACATCGCGTATTATTCAATACGCGAATGTTAAAGATGAGCTGTTCGGTTGCGTCACTTCGAACAAGAAGAACTTTGTTCTATCTCACGAAAGTATTTCGTAGGTACACAGTGTCTCAGGATATGTCCTATATCGGGCGGAAATAAGCGATGTATCGTTAAGGGGGTTGTGAATGCTTGAAGTTGTGCGCAGTGCCGGCGAGTGCACTCCGCCGAGAACGTGTGTGTGCGGGGGCGCTCCGGGGGCGGAGGGGGCGCGGGTGGCGGTGGGGGCGGAGGGGGCGGTGGGGGCGCGGGGCTGGCGGGCGAGGAGCTGCGCATCGTGCGCGCCGTGCGGGCGCAGTATGCACGCCGCGGCGGCTTCGTGCGCATCTTCCCCTCGCAGAACTCCTGGCAGAAGTACGCGCAGTACCTAGGTGAGCCACCCAATCGGCCGGCCCGAGTGATTAACTAGGCCTTGAGAGATGTTAACGTTTTTATATTTTGTTAAGGATAAGAAGATATTATTTAAAAAAAACCAAAATACTCGTACTCGGGTGATTATGTCGAAAACCGACTAACTAAAATATATCCTTTTTTTTTACAAAAGTGTTTCATGTTTCATAACTCACAAGAAAAAGATTTCGGTTTTAATCGTAATAAAAAATAAAATCGTGCCATTTGGCTTTTATAATACCCCTATGATATTTCAGGAAAAAATAAATGACTAAAGACAATTGGAGTTCGCTGAATGAATCTAGTCGAACGATTGATGACTAGAAAGTGTAAATGTGTCCGCAGACCCAGTGACGGGGCTGCCCGTGTGCTCCACCTCGGCGAGCAGCAGCGCGCCGTACGCGGCGCTGCAGCACAACTACAACCTGCTGGTGCACGCGCACGTGCTGCCGCACTTCCGGCAGGCGGCCGCGCACACCGAGCCCGACGTGGACGTCGACTCGCCGCAGAGGTGGCGCCCTCATCGCTGACCGATTATGCTACCGCTCCCCAGAGCCCGGAATTTCCTCACTTTCGACATCCCTAGCCCCGAACCGTATGCACCGTGTAGGACCGCGTGTGTTGTGCAGGCTGCGGCGCTACGAGGCGGCGGCCATCGCGGGGGCGGCGCCCTGCGTGCAGCTGGCCGAGAGCGCGCCTCCGCCGGGCGACGCGCGCCGCGCCAAGGACCTGCTCAAGCGACAGCTGCTCGACGGCTTGCGCCTCACGTGAGCACCCCTGACATTATTCCCCTCAAACAATTACAATATCTCTTTTTAAGCACAGTCAACGGCTATCGGGGTGTGACCCCGCCGCGCCGAAACTCGACAGCCTGTAGGCGACACTCCTTAGCTAACGCACGCATGAGCACATGCGTGGCCCTACCAAGTGTGGAGGGCCTCAAACCCGTGTGTTCTGGGTAGGCCACCGGTTGTGCGTTCGATAAAGCTTTTATAGTCTCTGGACTGAAAGTGTTAACATCAGTTAATACAAGAGTATATCGATTTATTTATTAGAGATGTGAAACGCCCTCTCTTACGGCCAGGGCGAGCGAGGGGCGGCGCGCGTTCGGGCTGTACCTGACGCACGTGCTGAAGCGCGTGTCGAGCCCCGGCCGCGAGCTGTCGGTGCAGCACGCGCAGCTGGTGGCGCGCTTCCTGCGCCGCGCCGCCGCCACGCTGCGCATGCCCTACTACGTGCAGGTACTGCCTACTACCGCCGGTTCACTAAACTACACCTGCCAGAGAAGAACCGGCAAGAAACTCTGCGGTCTCATCTATATATTATTTAAGTATATACACTAAAGCCTTTAGGTATAAAAGGAGCCAGGGGATTTCCCTCAGAGCCCGCCGGCCAAGATGTGCGACAAGGACCGCTGCGCCGTGGTGGCGAAGCAGCTCAACGACTTCCTGTACCTGTACTGCCGCGACGCAGACCTCTGCGCCGACCCCGACCGCCGCGAGGGCTGCGTCTCTAACATCCACTTCGCGCAGTTCCTCTGCTCGGCCAGGTGAGCGACCATGTTATTTCGACCCGACAGATTTTCGATTCTAAATGTCCATATTGTTTTATTATATTAACTATTTGTTTTCAAATTCTATTCCGGCACAGAGTCCGTAGGTGTCAAGAGTTTAATACTTGATACACCTTTTTTGGATAACAGGGTTTCTAGGAACTATATCCGACATATCGATATTTTCTCTCCGATATGTCGAGGTACTGTCGATTCTGATATTCTTATAAACATCCGCGCCGGCAGCGAGGCGGACCTGGAGGACGTGCTGCTGCTGGTGCTGAAGATGGAGAAGCACGTGACGCCGTTCCTGGGCGACGCGCGCAACCCGTACTGCGTGGACCTGCCGCCGGAGAAGCTGGCGGCGGAGCGGCCGGCGCGCCACTCGCTGCTGCGGCTGCTGGCCGCGCTGGCGCCGCTCAGCACGCGCCGCTTCCGCCCAGCGCCGCCCGCCCCCAGCTCCCACGTGTGATCGACCTAATTTAATCAGGCTGCAATTGAGACAGACGATAACTAGAGGTCCTAAACTGTTTAAACTGCGACAGCCTCAAATCTCCAATCTTCACCTCCCTTTCGTAGTGCGGCGTGAGACTGCCCCTGCTTACTGCTGCTCGCTACCGTTTGATTGAAACGCCTCCTTGCCTAAACGTAGCAATAATGTTTATGATATTTAGATAGATTCGTAGTTATTAAAAAATTTCATTCGACCGTCAATAGTAGATAGAAAAAAACGGTACCTGATAGACTGAAGATGCGATGTTTTTGATGGATGAGAATTCCACAACAGTGTGGAGACGAGACCAAGTTATACATTAAAATGAGTAAATGAATGGAATCTGCGTACATAGTGTTGAACGAAAGAATCTTAAAATATTGGAGAAATAACAATCTCATTTTAACGAATTTAGCTAGTTAATAAAGCTAAAGATAATGTCATCGTTTTACTTGTAGCTTTACATTATGTTGTCAAGTCCATTTCATGAAGTGATGTTCGCGTCTTGGTCACATACTATCAAATGCACCCACCCGTGTCTGTCGAATAGGATTTTACCAATATAATATATGATTTTTATAAAACTTAATTACAGTGAAAGCAATAACTAATTCTTAACCTATCTTGAATCAATCTCATCCTCAAGGTTTCTGTGAATCTCTTGTGTTGTTTTATCAGTTTGTAACTGCCTAAGACATATTAGTCTATAATAAATTATTATTTCTCACATTAAACATCACTCCACCTAAAATGTAATTTGACTGCAGCAATGTCTGTTCATTGATCTTGTTGTGGTTGCATCAGTGCGAGTTAACAACGATGCTAGTCGCGACGGCCAAAGTTCTCGCAATAATATATTTATTTGTACATGGAATAATAAGAGATATGTATATTTAAGAATAGAAAGATTTATCCGAGTCTTGTTGATGTTGAAAATGAGTATCTGTACTTACATAAAGTACTTACTGAACACTTGCAATTCCTTTACGGATTTAAAATTGTAACAAAGATTGACGAATTAGCGAGCATTGTACGAAAAAAAAATTAAAGTTTAGCAGACTTTTTTATTAAAATGGTCATGAGTCGATACTATCCACTGATATATTTTCTGCTTTTAACTGTTAACCACACCAATTAAAAGTAAGGACTTATACAAAATCTTAAAAACTTTTTATTTTTTTATATTTGAAAATATAAGTAATTAAATGACATTTTTCTCATTTATTGTAGACATTGTTAGTACACATTTTTAGTGATATCCCTATATTGATGGAGATGTTTTCTGTGAATGAAAGTATGTTACCCGGTTATTATTAAATTTTGTTAATTATTGCATTATTTTTATTATTTATTACATAAGATTTATTTTTATTGTTTTCATTTGTGGAAAGAAAATTATTTTGTGTTACCGTCCCCATTTATGACATAATTTGTAACTAGTGCCTGTATGCTTAAATTATAGAAATTAATAAAATTACAGTACATGCTATTGTTATATCAAGTAGATTGGATGCCTCTAAGCATTTACTCCAAATGAAAAAAAATCGTGTAAAATGAGAGGGAAACGCGGTAAAAATTACGATGGTTATTCGAAGACAGTATTCAAGTGTATGCAGTGATCCATTTATCTCTTTAAGAAAAATGGATGCTGCATAGCTAACTTATTTGTTAGGTATGTAACGGTTGCAACTGTAATAGATTATATTTTTGTATTGGAAAATCGATTTCAATTTAAATGTATTTTTTTAGCGCAATTGTGATCAGGTTTTAAAGGTATAGCTTGGTGAGGCTTCGATAAAAGCTGGTATGCTGTCTTGATGTGGTAGGCTGAGTGATGTCCCACCATCCCACTCGCAACATGCACCTAGCGGAGAATGCTTGAAATTTGTCGTATTCTTTTTTTCGGCTATCTTGACCACCTTGTAAAAATATATTTTGAATATGCTGAATAAAGTAATGAGTAACTGATTTTGTTGTAGTTTGTATACTTAAAACTTCATAGCTACCTAGCTTAGATCGACATGGATTTACAACAATCTTAAGAGTTTAAATAAGAAATGTCGTCCTTTGTTCTTCTTTAATGAGCAAAGAGCAGTCTGTTCACTTGATGGTAAGTACCAACACAAAAATCTGCAACACCAGTAGGATTGGAAGTGCCTTGGCACCTTGACTGGCTGGCCCATCGGTCCATAAATATCTCCATAACATTCTTTTCCACCAAACTACTACAAGTAGCTTAAAAGTAAACTTCTATGTTTTATCATTGTTAACCTAATTTAGTTAAACCAAAATTTGCCTTTTCTATGCTCTATTATAACATCTTAATGACAGCATACAAATAGGGATCTTTGTAAAATAGAATATGGGTTTTACATTAGATTTTTTTTACTAAAATAGGAGTAAATAATGTAGTCAAATATAATTATTGACCGTCATTCAACATCGTCAAGTTCAAGTATTGATTATCAATATCATCTTCATTATGACATCATCATCTTGCCCTTATCCCACCTAGGTGGCGTCGGTAAAGCATGTGAATCATGTCATTAGCGGTTTAGCTTATAATTATAAGTATCGATAACGCAACAGCTTCGGCTAAGTTAAGTACCACGACCTCACAAAATACCAGCGTAATGTGGAAGTGATACTATTATGCGTTTCATCTGGTGATTGAGGTAGCCGGGGCCCACTTTATGAAAATGTGTCCATGGGCAGAGGTTATCACATAAGATCAGGTAAACCGCCAGCTCGCTGCCACGTTATCATATAAAGGCTATATTATTGTAGTTTCATTAACATCTATTCAGTAGATTTTGCGTGAAAGACTACAAACATATATCCATACATACAAACTTTCGCATTTATAATATTAGTAAGGATGCTTAATTACCTTAGCTCGACTATTAAATTACAAACATTTAAACAATTTACCTATATACAACAAATTGAAGTACCTAATTCATTTTGTCAAACCCTAACAATCATGGATCTATTAAACCCTTTCTCATAAGCTAATAACCCCTCATTAAAAATAATTATAGTGATATAAACATTAGACTGAATTTATTGCACGATTTCAGTTCCTATTCCTTATTGCATAACCACTTCCCAATTAAATGATTGCAAAATTAATTAAATTACAAAGAAAAAATTAAGACACTATTTTGAAAACAGTTTTTTTATCTTAGTTTTATATTCATCAAACGTTTGATTCATTTTTGAAATTTAAAACTGATGACGAAAAAGTTTTCCCATGGTGTGGCTGATGAAATAACTCTTTTAGCGCTATTGATTTCCTTATGTTTTCAGCTGTATGCATCGACATAATAAAAAAAATTGGATATGTCGACCTTTGTGAACTATGCCCCAACAGTATTGGCCTTGGCGCATAGTTTATTGGGCCAATACCCTCTGTAGATGAGGCCTTTTCCCAGCAGTGGGAAATTAGAATGTCCTATATGTACACACGTTTTTAATAAAAGCTATTGATAATTATGGGATTTTCTTTATGACACTATGTAATCACGTGATAAAAAAATAAACACATTTTTTTTAAATATCTTTATTTGGTTGTATTTATAATTATTTTCTGAAAGTTCTTAGAAAATCATAAAATGGCTCAATGTAGAAAATTGCCAACGTTTATTGATGATCGAAGTAGTCTCCGTTCAAACACAGAAAAGTAGTATGCCCATTCTTCTTTGGGGGTCTATCCTAACGGCATTTTCGAACGCACTCACCGCATCTTCAGGGCTCGTAAAGTGAAGTTTATCTCTGATTCTTGGGAATAAATGAAAGTCCGGTCTAGTCCATCATCCAGGGGACCAGATTCTGTCAAACATATAAAAATGTTAATAATGTGGATTTTCGATTATTCAAAGATGTTGAAGTTAATTAACACAGATACGCTTCGATTAATATTCGACTTCAAGAGTCGGACTATGTTGCATTAACGTGCGCCATTTTGAATACCGCATTCAAATGAACAAAATAAATAAGAAAATAATTTGACCAAATAATGAAAACGGACATCCGATCGTAACCATTGCTAGATTGCGCACGTCTCGTTCGTCTAGCAAGCATCGATAGCTGTTAGCATAACATACTTCTGGACAATCAAAATGTAAACGTATAGAGCATCTATGAAAGCGGGTGTTTCCGCGTGTACTCTGAGAACGGAAGCAGCGTCCGCAAGGTCCGTTCGGGTGGGTTGCTTTGGCCGTACTTACGATTGCATAACTTTATCCTTGTCTTCTGTCGTCGTCGCCTAACGCATACTGCGGTACCGTGTCCGCAACGTCATCGCATCGACTACGTGTCGCCGCAGCGCGCACCGTCAAGCCGCTACTAATCGTCTGAAAGGACTCGCACGCGCATTCTATGGAGCGCCGGCCACAGTTTGCAAATGGCAGGGTGGGGTGGGGCCAACGCACCGTACGCTTTGTTGCATATCCCGACGCCTCGAGACGCACCGCACACACGCACACGCCTATCGGTGGCCACTTTCCGCATGTTCAGCCACACGGGGGGAGGTCACCCGTTTCCGCAACCATCAAAGCAGACCAGGCTATATAGCGAGACGCTAAAGTGACATGCAAAACGGGAGCTCGGTCGTCGGAATAGAGGAGAGGATTGTAAATAAAAAAAAAATTAAATGAAATGGTAAAGGGTTTAATCTAAAGGATAATATAATACAGCTTAAAAATACATCTTAAACATTTTAGGATCTTATCATTTAGCAAAGTCAATATTCATATATAAATGTAAACGTATATATCGCCGGGCGACGTCGTCAGCGGGTGAAATGAAACCGCGCGGTGATATAGTAATGATCATTTATTGTATTACAAAATGATTTTGACATAATTTGATTGCGATCGATCAGACCGCGCTTGCCTAAGCTAAGGGGCGGTCGCGCCCGTCTGTCTAAGGGGCGAACGCGTGAGGGCGGGAATGAATGCACGGGCCGACGCGCACACGGCCGACACCAGCCCTACCCGCGCCCCTAGGGCTTCGCCCTCGACCCACAATGTAACCGCCTAAGTCACTAACGTAAGCGTCGGAAACGTCACTGTACGCCCGTCAGCTGTGTGCGCGGGTCCGACCTAACTATACTATAACATACCGATTACACGTATCATTACGACAACTTCGCCACACTTGTCCTGTCAACACAGACAACCGTTCAAATAACCTGATATATTTACTTTAAGCGATATGTACTGTCATAATATTTTAAAATCTTAACAATGTCAATCTTTTCTTAAATTATGTAAGATAATTATCGACCTCTTCGCAGATTCTATTTAAATTATTGCTTACATCATGCTCCGCATTATTATAGACATTGACCCATCACCGACCCGTGCATTTCCCAGCTTCAATTGTAACATAAAAAAAAAACCCTATCAGTATTGGTCTAACGCATCTGTCTATTCGTCTAGGGAGGCTAGGCAGACCGATTCGACGTATTTTATCCGTAACGACCCTTACCAACCCGTGTGGCTCCCCCTAAAACAAATTTATGCACCTTAAAATATTGATCATGGGCCATTGAAGTTTTCCACAATTAGCCTGAACTAATACGCAAATCTTCAACAGCTACTTTGTAACATTGCTAAAGAAATTAACAAGGAATATTTCTTTTTTTATTTAACCGACTTGATTGTTTGGTATTGGAACTGACTAAAATTTTTCTTAAATATGATGACACCAAGTCATTGCTGACAAAATATCTTCTCATGGAAATGATAAAGAAATTTTAATGTTTTTTAATTTATAGATGAATGTACGGATATATTAATTTTCGTTTTGAAAATATTCCCTGCCGATTTTAAGTCAATAGCAAGATGTAATAAGAAAAAAATAAATTCAATTTAAACTTCAAAATAAATATTACTATTTCATATTAATGGTTTAAAAAAATCTCCCTATTCATAAAAAACCCAAATATTAGCCGCATTAAAAGATAATTTATTTTGAAAAAAGAATGAAGGGAGGAGTTTAATTTGTCAGGTAGTTTATTTTTAAATATTATTAGAGGAAAACAAATTTCTTACTGAAAACTATCAAGGAACTGCATCAATAATATTGTACACTAAGCCCAAAAATTGTTAGTTTCTTTTTAAGATACTTGACTATTTTATATATTTTTGGTATTACTAATTAAAGCTTTACCACATTAAACACAAACCACAAACGAAATAAAAATCTTTTTAAGTATCAATGTTACCTAAAAAATTTGAACAGAAATTTAATATTTGAATACTTTATTAATTTGTGAAAGTCATGCAGACATGTCTATAAATTGTGCTAAAACTTGTTCACAATATCCAATGATGAAAATATTATTTTTATTTTTCTTTGAATGAGTAATGTTAAAATATATACTAAACATTTGAATGGTGGGTGTATTGTGAAAATATATGTTAAGTATAAAGAAAATTGTCCATACATGTGATAGTAACGGAAACAAAACCACCACATTAATAGTGCAAATGTGCAATGGTGGATAACTCTGCAGTTACTTGATAGTTGAGTCAAATCAGAGTGATAAAAATGAAAGCGCTCACCGTCCCATCGGCGGGTACTGCTGCGCGTACGCGTCCCGCTCGTAGCCACCGGCGACTCCGGCAGCGCCGCGCCTGCAACGGACAGAAGGGGAGGGTTGTAGCCCATCATGGTGCCGTGGCGGATGAGGCCTATATGCGAAGGGGGAAGGTCACTCACATGGGCGGCGGTGAGCGGCGGCTGAACATGTCGGCGGCGGGCAGCGGCGCAGCGCGAGGCGGCGGGCGCTCGTAGGGCGGCGGCAGCGCGCCGGGCCCGGGGCCTCGGAGCGGCGCGCGCCTCTCCAGCAGGTCGCGCTCGTCGCCGTACATCGGACGCATTTCCTCCGGGTACATGGCTGTCCTATCCTCGGTGGCGTATGCGCGCCGCTCGTCGTACATCGGCGGCGCACCGTACTGCTCGCGCGCGCGTCCGTCCATCAGCGCGAAGCCGCGACGGTCTTCGCCGCCGTAACCGTTGTACGTGCGGTCTTCGTAGCCGCCCATGGGCCGCTCCATGCTACGGTCGTACGGTGGGGCACCCATTCCGTTGCGCATCGGCATCCCGCCGCCCATCGGTGGGCCGCGCATGTCGGCGCCTCTCATGGGCCCCATCGGGCGGGCGTCCCTCATGTACGGCGCGTCGCGCGTCGGCGGCCCGCCTCGCATGGGACCACCGCCGCGGCGGTCCATTGTGCCCCTCATGCCGCCTCGCATACCTCCGCGGGCGCCACCACCACGTTGGCCACGCTCTTTGATGCGTCCCCTTTCTACTGTTATCACGCCTCCATTAAAAGTAGTATTGTTAAGACTGCGAATCGCTGCCGAGGCCTGTTCCTCGGTTTGCATGTGCACGAATCCGCAGCGATTCATTATATCACATTCTGTCACAACACCGAACCGTTCGAACAGTTTTCTCAGCTCTTCGGGCTTGGAACCTTGGGGCAAGCTGCCGACAAACACTTTCGTTTGCTAGAAACAAAACGCAATTTATCAGATTACATTTGATTTACGTAACAATTATAGAAATTCTAATTTAAACACTTACCGGAACCATTTTGACTTCTATAAAACGCTATTCTAATTCAATATAATTACAAAAATCACTAAACCACGTGCATCTATAACAAAGTGCCGCAATCCCGCTTCTTTTGGTAACAAAATGGCGGGTGACTCTTTTGCTAAATGAATAATATCAATGACGTTATGAAGCCGGCGGAAGGTAACTGTTCATAAATTTAACTTATACGTGTATTTTGATTGGTTTAGTATCCCCCTTGGTCACCAACGCCACGCTATTCACGTATACCATTGGCTAGATCTAAAACGCAATATCATACGAACTTAACGTTGAAAGATTATTATTGCCATATTTTAATGTCCGTTTTCGTTCAAAAATATATGAACAAATACAAACACAGAAAAAAACTGTTATATATATAGAGAATATTTAATATTAATCTTTTATTTCTTTTATCATTGTTAGTTTCCATAAAGAATATAATGTAAATCATATTAAACAAAAATATCTTTCAGGTTGGGTGTAAAAAAATTGAAAAGTTTGATATTCACATTTTAATTCTAAGCAAATATAATGTAATACCAAAAGAGGAGGAGTTCCTCTAAGTAATAATAATATCATCAATTCATGGTAACAAAAGAGTAAACTATTCCTTTTACAAAAGTTTTAACTGCAAATGTGGTCTGTTAAGGAAACTTATTAAGATGTATCCATATATGTGGATATTGAATTTACTTGAAATATTTATTGAAAAAAATATTTGTGTAGTATCATCAGTTTTCAATTGTTGATTTTTTTTATCAAAATTATTTTAAATTGCCAGCCAATCCCGTATCTGGCTTTTTGTACTTGTCAGAGCCTAGTAAGGCTTTTAGAAATCAACTAGAATATCAATTACCCACAAAATTGTAACCTATAGATGGCATGTTGGATGATGAATGTTTTTACCACTTAAGAACCCGTAGCGTATCAAGGGCTCTTTGAAAGACTGCTACGTGCCCCGCACTTGCTTAATCCGGCACTGCCCACTGCCATAACAGCCTACTAAAAACTATGTCGATATCCTTGGTTCTTTTTGAGATTATCTGATTTTGGATTACATCCTTCAGAAATCTGTGAAACAATGCATATTGAAACATTATATCTAATTTAGTATTCGTTTGGGATGCTACTTGTGCAGACACTAGCTGCCTCTCATCTAAGGATCTTGGGCCAGAACCAGGGCGACATCAGAGGCAGCTTTTTTTATTTTATGGTATAAAGAGGCAAAATGGGTCACCTGATGGTAAGCGATCACTGCCGCCCATGGACACCTGCAACATCGGAGGAGTCACACTTGCGTTGCCGGCTTTTAAGGTAGGAGTAGCTCTCTTCTTTAAGGTCCCTAAGTCATATCGGTCCGAAAATATCACTGGTGACAACTGGTTCCACACAAGTAACTGTGTGGGGCAGAAAATTGCGTAAGAAACGCACAGAGGTGGACCGCCAACCATGAAGATGGTGTCGATGGTAGTCGGCGGTTAGCCGAGTACGTTGGCGAAATTAAGCAGCAGGTATCAACCCGAACTAGCAGCTCAAGTAAGTGGCGCAAATACGAGTATCTTTGTTCAGATTATGTATTTGTGCCATTTGCTGTTGAAGCTGTAGGTCTATGAGATTCCCATACATGGAAATTTTTAAAAGGTGTACGTCCTAGGCTTATCTCTGGTGAAAAGAGGGCTGATTCTTTTCTCGCTCAATGGTTAAGCATACATAACTATTCAGCCAAGAAGTGTAACTAGCTTTCTTGGTACCATGCCACGTGGTAGATTTATTAGATATGTAATTGAATTAGATTTACGGCCGGTTTCTGAAACACTGATCATCGTAGATGTCAACTAATGAGCTGTCGAATAGCTTTTCAAGTTTTCAAATTTCATTTTTGTTGCAAAAGGTTGGTTAAACTCTCTGAATTGACCAAAATGACCATCCTTTTGGCAACTAAAATGTAGTTTGAAAAGTCATTTGACAGCTGATTAGTTGACATCTACGATGATCAGTGTTTCAGAAACCGGGCGTTAATGTTGTAAATTTAACCTATTAACATTATATTTAATGCTCAGTATAGGTAAAAGTGTATTTTAAATATCTCGAAGCAACTTACTACTTACTACAAACATTGGATGATTCCAATATACAGCGTGTTGTTACCATCACGACAATAAATTAACACACGACTAACGCTACTTGCCAATAATCATAAAAAAATATTAACGTGAAACAAAATCCATAATTAAAAAAAAATATTTTTCCAACAAACTAATTAAGTAAAAAAGAAACAAAATTTGTAACATCCTATACAACTCGCGCCACAACGTCGTATTATAAGCCTCTCCTTCTAACAGTATGTTTTGTCTCTTTTAACTTCATTCAACCCATTCATATGCTTTGTGACCTTTACAAATGAACTTTACGTTACGCTTTTAAAGGTAAGGATGTTCTAAAATTCTTTGTTTTGGAAAATTTAATAACTCTGTAAATATTGATGTTTAAAGAATTTAAATGTTTAATATAACTTTAAAAAGTTATCCCCTATATGTGTGTTCATTTATTGTCGCGATGGTAACGACACGCTGTATATCTGTACAGTACAGTTTTTAGACTTATTATTCCAAGTTTATTGTCTTGTAAATATTGAAATAAACCATAATGTTTCAACTACTAGTCTATGTACTGAAAAAAAAACAATTAGTTCCCTTGCGAGTATGGAGGGTAGAATAATTATTCTACCCTCCATATTTGCGAGCTTGCGACTAAGATCTTATCTGTCTCATGAGAGCTGAACATGTTTTACGTTTGAGATAGTCTTATTAAAAAAATGTTTTTGAAACTAGGTATGATTTACGTGATTTTATTTTTATTTGCCCACAATTTTGACAGACCACACGACCAAACTTATATTTTAATTTAGTATGTTGTACCCAATGAATTTTTATTATAGATATTTTATGCGCATACAATAGGTATGTCCGGTCGAAAGTGTCCTATTTATGTGCTTCAAACAGAGTATCAGTACACATTTACTCGTTTCGTTTGTATAGTACAAACAGGATAGCGTAATTAAAGCAATAAGTAAAAAGAAAACGTTTCAATCGGGAGTTTTCGTGGTTTTAATCCGGGCGCTTGCAACATATCTGTCGTATAAAATAGCATTGTTTGTACTATATAATTATGTCCATACCTAATTGTGGAACATGAAATAAAAAAAAAAAAAGTTTACATTTAATTTATTCATCCGTATATGACAATCTTTTAAAAATTGTGGTGCCAATAGTACTACTATACATAAGATAATATATATTCTCACGCACCACACGACTAATAATTAAATAAAGCTAGTTAATTTTATACATAAATTGTTATGGGAGAATTCAGCACACAGTCACGAGTAGACAGTTCACATGATATTGATGTTACCTATGTCCATGGGCACCAAAAACTTCAAAAGGTGGCAATTGCGTTAACAATCATTTTAAAAGTGCGGTTCTTTATATAAATATAAACACATACGACGGCACCAAAAAGGCAAAATTGGCACAAAAAGTTAGTTCTATTGATTACACCGAAGTCATTATATTAGGTACGTTCTATTTGATACACATAAATACTTAAAATAATATAAATAAACATTTTGTAATAAAAAACATTAAATCATTCATTACCTACATACCTATATTATTCACAAATTAATTATACCTAATATTAGTCGGTTATTACTATGTAATATAACAATAACATAATAGGCATTTATTAACATTTTGTTACAGTTTCATTTTAACAAGTCAGTGGAGTTCTCTTCCCGACCGCGGTGGTAGTATTTTGACTGTCAATAAGTGAGTGTAATGCTCCTATTTTGAATTGAATTTTAATTTAATTATCAACCTGAAAAATTTAATATATTTTTTTTATATTTCCAGCTAAGTAAACAATTAGTCAGTTTGCTCCGCGATCATTCGCGGCTGCATAATGTTTCCTTTAATATATAAAAATATAAATCAGCAGTAAGGCTATGACATTAAAAATAATATATTATTTAATACGATGAGAACATGTTAATCAAAATTGTTCCAAAATAATGACTAAAATTAACATTTACATTATTTGCATATGTAACTCCTTATGCTAAAAGAAAAAGATTAGTTAATTTTCAACCTAATAGTTACCTAAATAAATCATGACATGGGTATTTTAAAATCTTATTATTTACATGTAATAAATAATTCACATAATGTAATATTTATAATTGTCCCAATTAAAAGAAATGGAAAAAGTTAGAAACGTCATCTAAGAGAGTCTAAATACAGCGATGCATTATTAATAGATCTGATTAATTTGGTTACTTCGTTACTTATACAGTTCTTAACTAATTCGGCGACGTTGTAACTGGTCATGGTGCCACATTCGGCTTGACTGCAGCGAAATGCCTCCAATATTTTTGCCGCCACCTTTTCCGAGTCATTATGGTGGACCGCTTTAGGCGATATTCGTTTTGATTTTCTAAACAGGTTCTCTGCGGCTATCGTCAGATTGATGGATATAATGTCGTTGGTTCGCTTCACCTCGTTCCGAGCCATTCGACCTAACAAATAGCCTGAAATGTATTCAAGATTCTTAGTTTATCGGGTCTGGCTACATTACAATTAGAAACTTAAATAAACAAGGCATACGGTTTATATTGTTATTTCCCTAAGACTACTAGAGCTTTTTCAACTGCCTTTTAGTAGTTTAATTAAAATGGGCAGAATATTTTTATAAGTCATGTATTACGATTTTTTTTTGTCTCATTTACAATCGCTTTATAAATATATTTTTTTCATTATGTAAATAATAGCTACTGTTTGACTGTGAAAACTTAAATAGCAATCAAGTCAAGATTTATATATTCGTTGCTTGAACAGAGATGAGAATTGAGGCGGGAAGAACTGTACGAGCTCTAATGGTTTTCGTCGTTTGCAAAATGAGAAAGCTTGAAACGAACCTTACGTGAAATGATTTGTTAGTAAATAGACACTTAACCTCCAAATATGCAAATGATGCCGATGAGGAGTACGATGGTGGCGCAGAGCCGCTTGGTGACGTGGGGCGCGGAGCCGGTGCAGGAGCGCCTGTGCTCGATGCTCATCGCAGCCGAGGACTGGGCTTTGGGGCTAGTCTTCGGGCGCGCACTGGCCAGCGGCGGACACTAGCCCCGTTACTGCCGCAGGTGCCCGTGAATTCCGACTAGGGTATTTATAGACGATGCGTCTCACGTTGTCTGGGCGATGCCGAACGCTGAGCGTGTTTATAGCTCTTTGTTTGAAGTATGCGTGTCATTGTTCAAATTCTTTCCGGCCGTTCCCAAAGACAGATGTGCGCGTCGGCCGATTTACACCCGTTAGAGTAGTGTTTTTTATTTGATTCACATTTTTTGAAAGGACTTTAAAACACGTCATGTTATGCCACCGGCGCTATGGTTTTTGCTACTGTGACGGACAATAATTAAATTTTTATTAACTAGTGGAATCTAAGACAGCGTTTAATATTTCAACAATTCGAAAATAATATCAGTCTAATTAACTCCGATCATGTAGATAATGATTTAAAAAGTACTAGGTATTTTTGAACTAAGAATTGCAATGACTCGCTTTGTGAAATGCTATTCCGAAGCAAGAGAAAAGAAGTGTGTTGCCACTGCATTTGCTCAAAGCCGACAAGCAGATGATAAAAAGTTGGATACATTTATAGGTATGGCTTGGAGGTCATATCGAACTACATCTACCAGTTTTAAGCGTCATATTTTCCCTTCCCGCGGTCTCTTTACGATTATATGCAATGTTCTATCAAATTATTTCTCTCTTATTTCACTACATAACCTCTTAAGACTTATAAAAAAATGGAAGACTCCAACGAGTCGTATCTCGTTCTATCTCCTGCCTGTAATCCCAGCTAAGTGGATACGGCACAATATGAGAATTTTGTTATAAAAGAGTATTGGCCGTCAACCCTCCTTGGGAACTGATATATCCAGTAAAAATAAAAAAAAATATCTGGAGGTCACGAATATACTTTTCCCATGTGGGAATCGAACCCAAGACCCAGGTGCGGAAAACAACAGTTTACAACTGCGACCACCGCACGCAGAACTTCTACGACTATAATAAAACACAATTAACTTACTAACAAATACAATCATTTATTATACAAAATACGAAACATTAATAATTTTTACAATCAATTGAAGCCACGCGTCTTCTCAGGGGATATTAAAAATTATCATTCAAACTGTATAAAAATTAAATTATATAATAAAACAAAACAGATAATGCAACGAGTTATTAGTTAAAATGTATCGCAGAGTATAAACCTACTTACTATGTACATTATCTGATAAGGAGGTCAAAAACATCGATCAAGAAGTCAGATATTTTGATAAGCAAACCATTTAGTTAGAGGAGGCATCCCAAAAACTACCATTAGTAAATATTATCGAGGTGTTAAGTTTTATATTTAAAAGGGCCAGATGTTTTGCACATTTCATTTCGAGTGTTTATAACATCCACTTAAAATTATTATCAAAGACGGCTTTTTTCAATTAAAACAAGTTTTCCAAATTTATCACTTCCGATGAATCTGTATTAATGGTCGATCGACTTCAAAGCAGTTTAACGGTTTAACCGACAAATATCGGTGGGCACTTGGCACGGGGCCAAGCGGAAAATTATTAAATAAAACGGTCTCCGGCCACATTTCAATGTTACTATGACAGTTATTGAAAGGAATATATATATAGTTCTAGGACAAACCATAATGCGACCGTTGAAACCTTGACATTTGATGTCCACAGGATGCACTTAATATACAGTACTTGTTGGTGTCAGTATCAGCTACATGATAGTCATCCTAAAACTAGCCATCGTAATAATTCAATTCTTAAAACTTAAACTCGGTGCTCAAAGTTTATGGCACGGCTTGTGATACGCGAGAACGCGACACGATTTCATTCACACGTCCAATTTCTTAGTCCACACTGGTATACGGGCTGGCGGTTACGGTATCACTGGCCCATGTTGAAGAGCATCTTGAGGTCTTCGATGGAGAGCTTGGAGGCGTTGTTGTGGCGGGCGCCGGTCAGCACGTTGTCGGCCATCTCGAGCTTGGCCCGCTGCAGCTGCCTGATGGACTGCTCCACCGTGTCCAGGCACATGAACCTGGTGACGAAGGAGTCGTCATCCTCCCGCCCTTATCCCACCTACGTGGGGTAAAGGCGGTCGGTACAACATCTTGTGAAGCATGTTGTTTTTTACTACCGGCCGGCAGCCTAACGTCAACCCTGATTGGGAAAAAAACACCCAGACCCGGAACAATTACCTATGGGTCACATAAATACTTGCCCCGTGTGGGAATCGACCCCACGACCCCGACGCCGAAGCCAAAAGCTTAGCATAGGCGCGACCGAGTCATTGGATTTATTAAAGGATAGGCAACGCATCTGCAACCCTCCAGGTGTTGCATATATGCAATGGCGGCGGTTATCACTTAACATCTGGTGAACCACTCGCTTGCCATCATCTTACATGCATAAAAAATATAACACAATGAAATACATTTATCAATACCACCACCATATGTCTCGAAGAAGAGCTACGTTTTGAAGAGCCGTGATAGCGCAGTGTCCGGGCGCTCGCCTTTAATTCAATATAATCGAGCAACCCGAGTTCGATTCTCGGTGCCGGCGCCGTAAAAATTGTTAATTTTAAGTGTCGAATTATCACCTGCTCCGGTGAAGGAAAACATCGTGAGGAAACCTACATATTTTCGAAGTAATAACAAAAAAAATATTTCGAAGATACTATGTTCACATGATACTACGTGAACACAATGTTCATCACACAATATTTCTTCAGTAGTGGTGATCGAACCCACACCTTCTGACGAAGGAGGCAGGTACACTACCCACTACGCCATTCGGGTCACTAAGCTAAGCGGTCGATATCGTCACAGAGCAAAAATCTCATCGTCTTATCTACTATGTTTATGTATTTGTATAATTATGTCGATCAATGGTTAACGTTATCTAATGTTACGGCTCTCAAATGACATTTTTACAATTGATGTTTAAAAGCTAGAGATGTTGGCGTCGCTGTTGAAATTTAATTTTTAAATTATAATTTTAAAACAGTTTCATATTGATCGCAGGCACTAGCTAAAAATTAAAAATTAAATAATATACAATAGATATAGCAATAACGAAAAAAAGCCAACTAATATAGCAATAATAAAATCATAGAACAAGAATAAATAATTATGTAAATTCAGAAGTTCAAGAAACTAAACGGCCGTTGTGAGTCGTTAGTCGTTGAGTCAGACGGGGTAAAATCTGACGGTGCGATAAGAATTTCCATTTTTACACGAGTTTGTTGGCCAAAAGTTTAAATGCGCCGACATTTGGCAGCGGGGAGCCTCTTCGAAGCGTTGACTGACGTTGATTCATTCTACACGTCACACGAACGCCCGTCTATTCTACTGTTCATTATTTATATATTCATATTATTTATATAAATCTACTAGCGACGCGCCCCGGCTTCACACGGGTGCAATGTAGTATACATATAAACCCTCCTCTTTAAACACACTATCTGCTAAAAAACCGCATCAATATCCGTTGCGTATTTTTAAAGATCTAAGCCGCCATACATAGGGAAAGACAGACGGCGGGAGGACTTTGTTTTATACTGTGTAGTGATATCGTATAAAAGCTTTCAAAACAGATGTCTCGTTGCTAGCGAGTAGCTTGCACTTGTCGCGTAATAAAATCTAATTCTCACCTAGTGGCGGCTGGTAGAAGAAAATAAGATAGGATTAAAACAGTATCTTTCAAATCTCCAAGCGAGGATGACCAGGTGATGGCCATCGCCTCTGCTGGTCACAGGATCTCATAGGATACAACGATCTATTAAAGTAAAAGTAACAGCCTATGTAAGTCCCACTGCTGGGCAAAGCATCCCGAGAAGCCTCCTATATACAGATCATATCACATGACTTCGCAATATTTTTTGTTATTATTTCGAAAATGTGCACGTTTTCTTACGATGTTCTGCTTCCACGCTGAGCAGGTGATAAGTCAGAACTTAAAATTAACAATTTCATTGGTGCCGGCACCGGGAATCGAACTCAGGTTTCTCGAGTATATTGAATTAAAAGCGAGCGTTTGGAAAATGAGCTATCACGGCACGATCTATTAAGGACGTTCCTATTGTCAAAAACAAATTAATCCACGACAAATACGTTAGCCTGTCTAGAGGGCTGTTACTTCTCTAGTTAGGAATTATATTTATTATAAAAGGTCCTTGCGATGTCACCCGCCCACTTGCGATCCGAGAACTAGCCAAAATAGAAGCGTCGGCTTGTAGAATAATAGAACTCACTGACCATAGGCCGTACTATATCTCTTATATCTGTATATCTCTTAGACAAAGTCCTCGCAAAACAGACCAAAAGAGTTCCTTCTCGACTAAGTTAGGTTAGGTAAAGGTAGAACCCATGATTCATTTTGGCGTAATATGCTTGTGGCCACTAAAATAAGCCGTATGAATTAGATTTTCTAATTATTCTTTTTAACATTAACCTTTAAAACATTGCCCTCAATTTAAGATAACATTATCCTGTGTTGTAAGGACGTTTTAAAAACATAAATTGCACGAGGACAAACACCCAGATGCGAAACAACTATCTGTGGATCGGTCCCGTGTGGCAATCGAACCCACGACCCCCAACGCCGAAGCCAATACCTTGGCAACTGCGCCACGGAGTCATCAAAGTTAAGTTTCATACTTCTGCGCTTCGTCCGATGAGTGAGGTAGTCGGGATAAACTTTTGTCAACATCAGGTGAACCGCCAGTTCGTTTGCAAGCTTATCACATTAAAAAAAACCTATATTCACTATGGAATCAGGATTCAGCAAAGCAAAAAGCAATATTGTTAATTTTGATAAAACAAGATTCTAAATCATAAAACTAAAAAAAAAAAATACGGATCCACAACTATTATGCTATTGTTTTATCAGTATTCTTGAACAAAAACAATCAGTTTTGTTGAAATTGTGAAATACTTATATCTTCCCAAAAATACATTCTTGTTTTTGTCGATAAACAAAGAGCCGTATTTGTTGATTGTTTGGAACATAATAATGTAAATAATTTGTTCGGCGTTTTTATGGTTGCTTGTGTTTTTAGACTTTGGCACTGTAAAGTAATTGTTATGTGATGAATTCATCTTTAATTATAGCACACTTACAATCTCCTTAAACAAACAGTTCTGTTTGGCTCGGAGACACCATGACAGTCTTGAGCGGAAATACAAAATAGTTATGGTAAATATTCGATTAAAAAGAAAAAAAATATTAAGGTATTTTATTAAACAATTATTCAAAATTAGTCAACTAGCCTAATGCACCCTCAATTATCCGATTAGGGTGGAAAACGTGTTTGAAAGGGCCTAGAACCGATTCCACCGTAGAGAGACCTGCAACGGGTGCTCAAAGGTCGTATCACAACATTGAGGTACCCAAAAATTCCTGATGCAAGATTGGAGACAGCAGATTACCCCTGATGTATACCCGTCATATCCGAATAGCGTGATAAACCTTTGATGACTCCGAAGAACTACCAATGTACGCCATCTAGACGAACACATCCATCCCGTCACCTCGTTCGCGGTCGAAGATACAATAAAAGGTTTAGAATCCCGTTCCGCTCCAGATCTAGACCGCATAAAGAATAAAGTTCTAAATGAACATGTCCAACTACACCTGTCTCCTTGGTAGTAATTTCGTTGCACTTCTACTTGGCTCCGTCTTCCCGGAAATTTGAATAGTCATAGGCATTCCAAAGCCGAATAGTCCACGCAACCTTCCGAAAAGCTATTGCTCGGCCTCTTCAATTGCTTAGGATAAGTATACGAGTGACGCATTTTCAACGAGTTGAAGTACTATAGTAACTCCAATAGCTTCATTTTTAGATAGAACTTTGCCTTGCGGTCGAATCATCGGACAAGTACACCACCGGTCCGATAATTTCGTAAAAGGCTTTAACCAACTCCGCGCTATATAAGGGTTATGCTCTTTGCCGATCTCGCCAAGGCATTTTGTACTAGTTCGCATAAAAAAATGCCCGATAAGTTGGTTTACGTTTTGCAATACATCAGAAAGAACACTTCACGAGGGGGACCCTCTTTTTTTACGGACGTTCCACAAGGTTCGTGTCTTTCATCACTATTCTTACCACTACACTAGTGATATTTTAAAGAGCCTTTATGTCAACCTCGACCTATTCGTGAGCGACACCGCATTCTTGTGTGCACTAGCCGGTACTATCACCCGTTTCAAAAGCCCTGCCAATGGATTTGCCAAATGGAGAAGAGACGTTAACCCTAAGAAAACTGTATAGGAATATTATTTACACTTCATCATTATAGACTGAAGAAACTTTAGGTAGTGTAAAATAAAATCATATGCTGTGCAATCCGTGATAGGGACTCTTGACGCTCACTTTATAGAATTTGTTATTTATGTGCTTACCTACATTTAATTATCTATCGCGACCAAACTCACCAGCTGATTCACCAGCCATTTCGGATGCCAGTTGTCGTGTCCCACAGTTCTACGCACACACTTAGCATTGACTAACAACACACTTCTATGAGCAACACGACAATCAATAGGGTTTGAATGAGTTCACCTGTATATGTGCACGGGGCGCTGCTGGCCCACGCGGTAGACGCGGTCCTGCGCCTGCTGCTCGAGCTGCGGGTTCCAGTGCGGGTCGAGCAGCAGCAGGTGGCTGGCGCCGCACAGGTTGAGCCCCACGCCGCCCGCCGTCAGCGAGAGCAGCATCACGCGCACGGGCGAGGCGGCGTCGTTGAGCGCCGCCACCAGCGCCGCGCGCGCCGCCACCGCCACGGCGCCGCTCAGCGCCACGCTGCGCACGCCGGCCCGCGCCAGCTCGCGCTCCACCAGCCGCAGCACGCCCGTCCACTGCGACACCACCACCGCCTTCTCGCCTGGAACCGCGCCGCCGCCGCCGCACACTATCAAACGCGGGGCCTCCCCCGTGGGCCAGTACGAGGCAAAAAACATTCAATGCAGAAGACTTTTCCAAATTCGTATCTAGCACAGAGTCCGAAGGTGTCAAATATTTAATACCGCAAGTATTAAAGAACTCATTACTTTCTTTTTTTAAACAAACGTATCTTTATTCAACAAAGGGGCATTGCACTCAATTATTGATAGTCAAAATAATAAAACCAGTTCGGAAAAAAAAATCCGGCGAAAGAAACTCAGCAAATTATCTATCCGACGTATCGATATTTTCCTTTCGACATATCGAGAACAATATCGATTTTTATAAATATCGATACATCGATACATTCCTTCACCGTGGACACCCCTAGTACCGACCCGGGCGCGAGAGCACGTTCTGGTTGAGGCAGTCCATGACGGCTTGGATCTTGGACGAGGGCCGCTCCAGCTGGAAGACGGGGTTGTTGCGCGCCAGCACGGAGCGCACCGCCTCCGCTGCGGTGCTGCCCTCCCCCGCACCCTCGCCCTCCTCGCCGCCCTCGCCGCCCTCCTCCGCCCGCCCGCCGCTCTGTAACGATCGGTCGACGCTTTTATACCATTCACAACACCATTCAGAAGCAAAAGTAAAATACGTAGACTTATTTTAAGCTCTTATAGAAAAAACTACTACTGGTTCACTAAACTAGACCTATCCAGATACGAACTTGTAATAAACTCTGCCGTCTTATCATTTTTTCCCTCTATTCATAAAGACTAAATTTCAGTTGTGCTCGAAACATTAAAACTATATACGCTAAATCAAACACCTTCAAACTTTTGTCTAATCATAATGTTACCCGGAACAAAGATACAAAATAGTCAATATCATAGGGGTGTAAGCATAGACAAATTACTTTAATGCAACACAACAATCAACCTTTCTTTTGGAACCCTTCTTGTCTTCAAGTACGAGCTTGTTGAGCTCGTCAAGCAGGTCGTTCTCGGCGCTCTCCGCGTCCAGCTCCTCGCTGGGCGCGTCTTCGTCGCTTAGCATGGACGCGATGAGGCCGCAGTGGCAGCACACCTGCCGCAGCCGCAGCAGGAGCACCAGGATCTCGTGGGATTTCACTGGCTTCGCACCTCAAAATGCAAATGACCAATTTAATATAAAATATATATCAAAGGTAAAGTTTTGGTTCAAAGAAATTTTGAATATTATGAGAAATAATAACTCATTTATATAGATGAACCAGTATTTGGGTATATAAATATATAACAAGTACATAAAGTTTGATCCATGGCTAGCAATCCATTAGGTAAAATTAGAATTTTGCGCTTCTATACACCGTGGCGCTACTACCACGACCTTAAATTAACATATACAGTATACAGGAAATAATAAACATAAAAAAGGAAACTTTATAAAATGCATTAAACATATACTTTCATTAAACACCAATATTTAGCGAGTTATAAAATTTTCCAAAACAAATAATTTGAGAACACCCATACCCATATAAAACTGTAACATAAAGTTCACTTGTAAAGTTCACAGAGCATATGAATTGATTGAATGAATTTAAAAGAGATAAAACATACTGTTACTGACTTGTAATGCGATGTTAAGGCAACAAATGAAAGAGTCTCATAATGTATGAATCAGTCAGTTGTAATTGTATAGGATGTTACAAATTTTGTTTGTTTTCTATTATTTACTTTGCTTGATTTTTTTTAAATTATGGATTTTTTTCGTTTATATTTTTGTGATTATTTGCAAGTAGCGTTAGAAGTTCGTTCGTTTATTTAAGATCGCGGTTGTAACACCATGCTATGTATAATTTTACATTGCCATTTTACCTTGAAGTTTGACCATCTTTTTATGCATTTCGGCGTAGGCGCTGTCTTTGCCGGCGGCGAGAGGGCCCATTGCGTCGGCTCTTTTTTCTGCGCGCTGGTGGAGGAATTGCGCGAACAGAGTCTTCGAGAACACCAGGAGCTGAGGGCACGTTAGGTTGTTCTAGAATGTTCTTTTTCACTCCCGACATAAAGAGGGATGTTGACGTGTCGTGGCATCGTAACTTCTAAACGAATGGTTTTTGTTTTTTTTGTTTGAAAGCTGACGTGATCGAGACGCTTCTTAGCTATAAATTGAGTTTTTTTTGAATCTGGGTGTTTTTTTTAATTTAAAATTTTATATTATTATGTTTCTTGTATATGTAAGAGACGTGATTGCTCATTGTCCGGCGGGTCGCTTTTAATTCCATATATTCGAGCAACCCGAGTTCGATTCCCGGTGCCGGCACCAATGAAATTGTTAACTTTAAATGCTGACTTATCAGATGCTCTGCGGCGAAGAAAGACATTGTGAGAAAAAATAAAACGAATTATTTAAGACGAAAAAAAAAATATTTCGAAGGGTGGAGTTCTTCTATATGTATATAGAGTGTATCAGGGCATACCTGATGCACTCCATATATAGCAGGCCTTTTCCAAGAAGTGGGACATGTATAGGCTGATACTTTACTTATATTTATTGCCTATAGACGGGAGAGGGTAGGGGAGAAGTGGTGGTACCTTCTGGTACACCTGCATCTCCTCCTTGGTGAGCGTGACCTGGCGCTCGTGCAGGTCCCTGGAGGGCAGGCAGGCGAGCTGGCCTCGCTCCTGCAGCTGCGCCTTGGTGCGGCGCAGCATGATGCAGCGCATGATCGTGCTCAGCCGCTCCTGCCCGCCGAGGCTCTTGTTGTCGATCCACTTCTTCCACATCTGGAACCATCGATGGTACTACGATGACGATACTATGATATGGATTATTGGTGGTAGGGCTTATCCGGGTAAGTAGAACGACCTCACAGAAGACCAGCGTAAAGTGGAAGTATAATACTTCCGCGTTTCGTCTGGCGAGTTAGATTGCCGGAGGCCAATTTTCAAAAGGTTGTCAACGCATCTGCAACCCTCGGGTGCAACAGATGTCCATGGGCGGCGGTATTCACGTAACATCAGGTGAACCGCCTGCTTGCTTGGCAACTTTTCAGATAAAAAAATAGACAATCTGAATCTTTTGTTTATAATCGAGTGAAATGCGTTTGAAACGTGACAGGTTCGGGCACCGTCAGGTCGTCGAAGGGCGAGCAGCCGAGGTAGCGCAGCAGCGCGAAGAGGTCCAGGTCCTTGTTGTGCAGCGGCGTGCCGGTGAGCGCCCAGCGGCGGCGAGCGGGCAGCGCCGCGGGCAGCACGGCGCCCGCCGTGGCGCTCTTGTGGTTGCGTACTGCGTGCGCCTCGTCCAGGATCGTGCGCCGCCAGCGGACGCGGCACAGCGGCCCCTTCTATATATTGTGTATATTACAGCGCACTTGATACAGTCTGGGCCGATCAATACTATAACAGCCTTTAACGAACAAATGTTCCTTTACATCCCTTTACACCTATTTATTTATCATTAGTCATATTATTATTATTATTTTTGTAACCAATCATTTGACGATAAAATAATTTTACTATCGTCCACACACACCACATTCTACGCACGTCATTTTGTCAACAGAGAAGCACAACTGGTCGAATGGGGCACCTTCTCGACGTCGCGCAGCAGGATGTTGTAGGTGGTGAGCACCAGGTCGTGCGCGGCCAGCCGGTGCGGCTGCGCCGAGCGCGCTGCGCCGTGGTGCTGGCACACGGAGAGCCGGTGCGGCTGGCAGTGGCGGCTCACCTCCTCCGCCCACTGCTGCATCAGCGACGCGGGGCACACCACCAGCGTGCCGCCGCGCACCACTGTCACCATTTTAGGCAATTAACCCATCGTCATACATCCACGAGGTCAACCTGCGGTGCGTAGTACGAGGTTGCCACTCAAAAACCTTCCTTCCCCGTTGGTTGCAGATTATTTAAGTTTCAATTAATTTATCCACAAAATTAACTAATGAACTTGTACACAATACAATTTTAATCAATCTATGACCGAGGACACGGAAATCGGGATTGGTTAATTTTTAAACTGATACTACTGTGGTAATTTCTGTTTGAAAGTGATTCTTAATGTGGTTAAGCCACTAACTACAATGTTGCACGAATGGGCAGGTCCGTCCAAGGAAGTACCACAATCTCATACAACACTGGAGTGAAGTAAAAGTGTTGCACTTCTCAATTTCTTCTAGTGAGTGAAGTAGCCGGGCCCACTTTATTGAAAGGCGGGCCCACTTTATTGAAAGGCGGCAATACATCTACAGCCCTACAGGTGCTGCAAATGTCTATGAGCAACGGTTATCACTTAACATTATGTGAACCGTCAACTCACTTCCCATCATCTCATATAAAAAAAGAGAAATCGATCGTTGGGATAAGTACTCACGGCGCGAATTGCTCTTGCCACTGGGCTCGTCGTTCTCATCATCCTCGTCGTCAGCTTCGGACTCCTTGTCGCCAGCGATGAGAGCTATCATCGTGATGGTCTTGCCTAGACCCATGTCGTCCGCTGTAGGAGGACGGTAGTTGAGTACTTTCGCCAAGAACAACAGTAATAGAGGAAAGATGACATGAGATGTTAAGCATGAAAAAGAGATCTACCGAATACCGTATACATATTAGTTAGGTGCGTTAGGCTAAGTAGTATTTTTAACCTAATTAATGTACCTATTGGTGACAATGCTCATTAAAATTTACTTTTAAGTGAGCACAGCTTTAGTTTAGGTAATTTAGATGGCAATTAGACACTGTTGACTCGCATTGGATATAAGCATCAAAACCTCTCTGTCCAAATATACAGAGTCCTTTCTGGGTCTTTATTTAAACATTATAAATCAACTTCTGCTGGCCTTTTTATTCTTCCACTTGTTGAATCGAATAGATTATTGCATATGCGAATGCGGCAATGCACTTATATACAATATACCTCAGGTACACTGTACCTTGGTTACCTCATTGCAGTTTGATGTTAGGGGTAGCGTGCAAATACTGAGGTAGCCATCGTGGCCCAGCGAAGTGCTCTATGGGGGTGTCATAGAAGCGGGGCGGGGGTGGAGGTGGGCAGGCACCGAGGATGCCGCCGGGCGGGCGCTGCGTCTCGCGCCAGCGCAGCCAGGCCAGCGCGTGCAGCTGGTGCGGCATGAGCGGGGTGCGCAGCGCCAGCGGCGGCGCCGCCAGCCGGCTCTCGGGCGGCCGCGAGGCCAGCGCCACGTGCAGGTCGCGCAGCCGCTCCAGCATCAGCCCGCGCTCGGCCATGTGCGTCGCCAGCGCTGAGGGCATACGTCTATAGCTCCATTATCAAACCACTACCGCCCGTTTCAGATAGAAAAACAATTCAGCTTGAAACAGGCGAAAAATCAAGCAAAACATTTTAAAAACTGTTTATATTATGACGGTCCGTGTTTATTTTCTGAATAAAAATATGAGATGACAACATACCTTGCTTGCCAAACATCCTTGGCTGCACCTCATTACTGGCTTTCTGCAAATCTTCCCAGGAAAGTCCCTTCTCTTCCGCGTTCCCAAATCCATCCTTAGCGATATCTTCAGTGGTTGGGTTATCTATAGAAAAAAATATTGATGAATATGTAATAAGTACAAAAGGTATCAATTCTCTTATAAATGGATTGTACTTGAAAACTACTGTTTAAAGCAAAGAAGAAAATGGCTTGTGCCATTGCAATGGACTGTATAAACTAAAATAATAATGCATTGTCAACCAATTTTAACATAATATGTTCAATATTTCAAATATAGTGCTGGGTGTTCGGTTCAAATTTTATATACTTGAGGAACTTGCATTCAAATCTCGGTGAAAACATAGGGAGGAAACATTTTTTTTTTTTCGAATTCATGCAATCAGCCGTAATAATGTGCCCTAATACCTTCTGTACACAGGAATCCTTTGCCGAGCAGTGGGACATGTAAAGGCTGTTAATTGACTGTACTTTTTGCTTGTTAACAATTAAAAACCAAAATCAAATGTAGACAGACAGGCATGAAACTAAAAAAAACAGTTAATGCATACTTAATGTATATAAAAAACGGTCTACATATGATTAAGATGACTACTTGGCGTAGTTGCCAAGATATTGGCTTCGGCGTAGAGGGCCGTGGGTTCGATTTCCACACGGGACTATTAATGTAACCCACAGATAATTGTTTCGCATCTGGGTGTTTATCCACGTGTGTTTGTAAAACTAACTGTACTAACAACAAGGAATAATGTTATCCTAAAGTAAGGGCAATGTTTTTAAGAAAAAAAAAGTGAAAGGTACTACATGTGTTCATACATTTGATGACTCCATTGCGTAGTTGCCAAGGTATTGGCTTCGACGTCGAGGGTCGTAGGTTCGAATCCCACACGGGACAACTATTTGTGTGACCCACAGATAATTGTTCCGAATCTGGGTGTTTGTCCGCGTGAAATTTATGTTTATAAAACGTCCTTACAGCACAGGATATTTTTATCCTAAAGAAAGGGCAATATTTCTTTAATCTAAGATGTTAAGATGTCATACGAAAGTATCATCTCACCAGGCTCGACCAACATAGAGGCCACCTTGTCGCCCTGCCGCCTGACATCTTGCTCTAGTGCCGTCAGCCTTTCTATCAGCTTTACACCACCATCTGGCAACGTGTCCACGTCCATATTTTCCAATATATTCTGAAATTCAAAGTTGAACCTTCATCATTTACAAAATTCACATGTTTAAAATTTCATCTTGACTAGCACTAAAATTAATCCTAAAATCTTAAGAGCAAAGGCGACAACTCTCGTTACAAATGTTCATTGTCGAATGTTCTTTGTAAGGTGTTTCATGCTGTAAAGGATGCACACTAGATAGCGCCAAGTATTGCTAAAGATTTAATAAAAAGAACGTAGGTAAATGTCGAGATTTTCGCGCCGTCATCTGCCGCTTAGAATTTAAGATTCTCAAAATATCAGAAAACGCGTCGATGGATGGAGATGCAGGATCGTGCTTCAGGGATCTGTGGCCTATGTTCAGCAGTTGACTCAAACAGGCTGAAATGATGATGATGATATCCATCTGTAAAGTTTACTTTGTTCAGTTGCCGTTAATCATAAAAATAGTAGTTTAGACGGTGGTAGGGCCACGCAGCAGCCTCGGCTGTTGCACGAATGGGCAGGCCCGTCCGGGTAAGTACCACGACCTCACAGAAGACCAGCGTAAAGTGGAAGTATGAGAAATACTTTCGCGTTTCGTCTGGTGAGTGAGGTAGCCGGAGCCAATTTTCAAAAGGTTGTCAACGCATCTGTAACCCTCGGGAGTGGCAGATGTCCATGGGTGGCGGTATTCACTTATCATCAGGTGAACCGTCTGCTCGTTTGACAACTTTTCGCATAAAAAAAAAAAATAAAAAAAAAAAAAGTTACATAGTGGATAGTCAACCTATCTCATGTGCCAGAGGATGTGCGTTTGATCCCCCCCAACTGGAAAATATTGTTTGATGAACATAGTGTTTTCCTGGTTTGTCTGGGTGTTTAGATATCTATGATATGTATTTATTTACAAAAGAAAAGTACGTTTAATTCAACTATGTTTATGAGTTACCTCGTATCCATAGTACATACAAGCTTTGCTTTGTTTGGGGCTAGATAGCGTTGTGTTAAAACGTGTCACGAATTTATTTATTACTAGTGACCCGCCCCGTCTTCGCATTCGTGCAATGTATTATACATATAAACCTTCCCCTTGAATCACTCTATCTAGTAAAAAAAACGCATCGAGATCTAAGCATACATGGGGACAGACAGGCAGTGGGACGAGTTTGTTTTATACTATGTAGTTAAGGCTCACCCGGACGTTGAGAAGGTCCTGCTGTAGTCCTTGCAGCTTGGCCAGCTCGCTCTCCCGCACCCGCTTGGTGACGTAGACCACGCGGTTGGGGTAGCTGGGCGGCAGCAGGTATTGCTTCATGTCGCTGCTGACCCTCCGCGGCTCCTGCTTATCGGCCTTCCCTGGCGACTTCTTCACCTTGGGCGACTTCTTCTCTTCTTTCGCCTGTAGTCAAGGACATTATAAATATAACCAACCGATCTGACTGTGCTTGTTCAGAAGTGAAACTCCTCATGCGACTTCCAACAAGGTTGCGTTAAACGTTTAACGCTACCATAGAGGGGGTATGAAAGAACTGTTGCGTTAAACGTTCATCGCTCCTGGGGAGGGGGAATAGAAAGAGACAGAGCGAGAGTGAATGAACACTCGAAGTTTCACTTCTTCCGCGCGAAGGGACTCCATGCATTTTTTTATGTTAAAGTGACAAGCGAGTTGATGATTCTCTTGACGTTAGGTGATAAACGTCCTCCATGGATATTTGCAAAACCCGTGGGGTTGCAGATGCGTGGTACTTTCCAGGATTGACATCATGCCCATTTGTGCAACAGAGAAGACTGTTGCGCCACCACCACAGTTAAAATTCTTCTTCTGGTAATACTGTTGTTATAACGTAGAAAATGTATGCGCGTGTATTTATTGAGATCTACTCAAGTCACCCCTGTTTGTCGATACAAGTTTAGCAATTAACGAGAATGAATATATTTACGCACAAACCTTTCCTTTTATAATAATACCGCGATATTTTTGCGGTGAAAAATTTGGTGTACGATTGAAGAGTTTGATGACTTAACTAGTTCAATAAATTTAGTCATGACGACAGTGACAAGGCCGGATCTTTTATTTTATTACTAAAACTACTGCAATAATTTTCATAATCCCATTTTCATTTTTTTTTCAAGTCACAATTTCTTTATTCAACATAGGCTTATTGAAAGTCAAAAACTACCACCGGTTCAGTAAACTAGACCTGCAAGAGAAGAACCGGCAAGAAACTGCGGTCATATATGTATATTTTTTTTAATTTTTTTTTTAAGTATTTAAGTATACACACAAAATTATTTTAGTATAATTTAGCAGGAGCCAGGAGACTTGCAAGTGCAGAGCAAGAGTCATTTCCACACATGATGAGAGATTTCCACACATCCTTGTCCTCAATGTATTCCTCGACATTATAATAAGCCCTTTCCATTAAGGTGGCTTTTACAAAATGTTTGAAATTATTTACACTTAATTGTTTGTGGATTAATCCGAAATTCAATAATATAATTAATCTCGTGGAATTTCACGAATACAATCGAATATTTTAAAAAGTTGCTAGCTATTCTGAGATCACGAACAAGAAGTCGGGGATTACTCACCTGCCTCGGCATGGTTCTGCCGGTAACGCGTTTAGCTCATAACAAAACGAATCCAAAAAAAAAAAACTAATTTTAATTGTTTTATAATGACACAGAACACCAATTTCCTTGTTCGAAGACAATCAATATATGAATCTGTTATAAATACTGTTCAATATCACTACTAACGGTCGTGTCCAGCACATGAAACTTTTAAATTGCAAGTATAATTAACAAGTCGAGCATCTTACGTTGTTTATCGATATACCCTCATAGAGTTTAAGATTAATAGAAAGGGATCTGTTCCAGATGTACACGTATATTTTTTGTTAGAACTTAACGTATTTTAAAATACTAAAACGAAATGTTCCAACAAAGTCTAGAAAGCTGAAATTGAGATAAAGCTTGGTGTATTTTGTAATGTATGTAATTCCAGCTTTATTTCGTAATGTATATATTTCCAAAAGAATTTTTGGAAATTTCAACTTAAAGGTAAAATGGGACGCATAACTTTGTGTGAAAGTCTGAAAAAGCATGAAATTTTTAATTACAACTACCGAGCATAAACAAATGTGTTCAAATCACCATGTATCGAGTTAAAATGTTAGAAAGTGATTTAGTGCGATTTACGTTTGCGAGTGACACCAAAATACCGCAAAAATTTTATGCAAATTGTCGACTTCTTCGGAACTCGAGTTGGTTCCCCGCCAACTTTTTCCCTTCGTTTATTATCATTCGAATTTTGTGTGGAAGGCATAAGGGTAATAAGTCCCAACGACCAATGCGACCTAGAAAGATCTATTGTGGTTTTCCCTTCGAAAACATTTCCCTTACTGTAGGATAACATCATCCTGCGTTGGTAAGGACGTTTTACAAACATACATTTTACGCGAACAAACACTTATATGCGAAACAACTACCAGTGTGTCACACAAATAGTTTAGATCCGAAACAGTTATCTGTGGGTCACACAAATTGTTTTTCTCGTGTGGGAATCGAACCCAGGACCCCCGACACCGAAGCCAATACCTTGGTAACACTTACATTATTTTATGTGTCCCTTAAAGTTAGGGATCTATTGTGAAAAAGGGCATAATTTACTTAAAACAATAACGTTTTATCTTTATACAGCGTGTCGTTACCATCGCGACAATAAATGAACACACATATAGGGGATAACTTTTTAAAGTTGTATTAAACATTTAAATTCTTTAAACATCAATATTTACAGAGTTATTAAATTTTCCAAAACAAAGAATTTTAGAACACCCTTACCTATAAAAGCGTAACGTAAAGTTCATTTGTAAAGGTCACAAAGCATATGAATGGGTTGAATGAATTTAAAAGAGACAAAACATACTGTTAGAAGGAGAGGCTTGTAATATGACGCTGTGCGCGAGTTGTATAGGATGTAACAAATTTTGTTTCTTTTTTACTTAATTAGTTTGTTTGAAAAATATTTTTTTTTAATTATGGATTTTGTTTAACGTTAATATTTTTTTATGATTATTGGAAAGCAGCGATAGACGTGTGTTCATTTATTGTCGCGATGGTAACGACAGGCTGTATACATGATTCTACTGTACGTGTGTATGTCACTGAACTCCTAAACGGCTGGACCGATTTTAATGAATTTTTTTTTCTTTTCATCTTTAGATCGATTCGAGAATGGTTTAGTTTCACATTTTTTTTTATTAATTCTTTTTTTAAGTTATCGGATTTAAGTCGTGTGTATAGGACAAAAGTCTGCCGGTCCGCTATTGCATATGTATTTACAGCCGTGATAGCTCATTGTCCAGCCGCTCGCCTTTAATTCAGTATACTCGAGCAATCTGAGTTCGATCCCCGGTGCCGGCACCAATGAAATTGTTAATTTTAAATGCTAAATTATTATCACCGCGGTGAAGGAAAACATCGTGAGGAAACCTGCATATTTTCAAAATAAAAAAAAAATTTTTTTTCGAAGATATGTAAAATCCTATGGCCTAATACAATCTGTACAGAGGAGGCCTCCACCCAGCAGAGGGATATGTATAGGCTGTTACTTATGTTTTTAAACATTTGAATTCCTTCCGGTGACATGGACCATTCGGGTCGATGGTAAATAAAGACCTTATTTTTAAAGTCTTTCCAAAGCTTCACAAAAGACTTGTTCGAAGAAAGACGAAGTCAAAAGACGGGTTCGAAATTGCCGATACCAATCCGAGCCACTGCATCGTTTGCAATCTGCTTAAAACGATAATAGAAACGTCACATACTTACATCATCATCGTCGCTGCTCAGCGCGATCACCTCCGGCTGCGCGTCGATGATGGTCACGTCGTCATCGATCACGTTCTCCTTAAACCGCTGGTCACCACTCATTTTTGCCAAAACCTTACTCCTCATGGAGTCGCGTCTGCTGCCCGTCAAGTCGTAAACGTCGAACGAAACGTTCTGCGTCAGATCGCACACGTCATTCTCGACCTTATCGCCGAGGGGTTTGTGCTCGTTTTTGAATGGGCTGTCGAGTTTGTTGGTGACGTCCTTCAGGGGGCTAGTGATGGGCGAACACGTCAGCCTGGAGTCGTCTTTGTCGTTCCCGTCTACGTTCAGGGTCGCTTGTACCGTGGCGTGAAGTTCAGCTTCATCCGCCAGGCTATTCGCGGAGTTTGGCCGCGACGAATTCTAAAAAGTAAACATATTGTTACGATGAGGTTGTCGAGTTCTTACATATCAATGACCTGCGATGACAGTTTAGAATGACGTTTCGAAACTTTGTACTTCTAGAAATTTCTCTTCGAAATAAGAGAAATTTCTAGAAGGAAAGCGAAATGCAATTTTATTCTCGAGACTACGTAAAGTAACTATGATATAAAAAATTAAAGTTCGTTATTAAAATAAGCCTTATTATGATGATATGTAACTTGTATTTTCAACACCATGTAAGATTAAATAAAAAAATATATTACCTTAGTTATTCATGGCAAAAATCATTTGTAGATGTAAATAACACATAATATAGGAAACATAAATTTAAAGCACTTCAATATGCATAGTCAGATGATAATTTAAGGAATACATTTGTGCAATGTTTATTATAAGTAGTTGTTACTTACATCATCAGACTGTATGAAATCTGAATCGTCACTGGGAGTCTCTTTCGGCACGAAGCCCATTATACTCATCCGGGTTGCGCGAGACATCACCATCTGGTCTTCGTCGAATTCATCACAGTTGTCCTCACTGCTCTTCGCCGCGGAGGATCGGCCTTCATCACTCGACTCGTCATTCTCAGAGTCTCCAACAACACCGTCCTCCTCTTTGTGAGAGACAGTCGACTTAACGCTGCTGATGTTAGTCTTTTCTTCGTCAATCTCTTCCCCACTATCATTATCGTCAATAGCATCAGTCTTGCTATCATTCGATTCTTCCTCATCACTGTCAGATGCAACTTCACTGGAGTTGGCGCCGCCATCTGATACTACGGATTTGTCACGTTCACCCTTATCGAGAACCAAATCTTTTCCGGTTATCTTAGCGGGGGTGTCCATATGACATGGGTGCTTCGTGTTCCTGTTATGCTCAATGACTATGGAGTTCTCCGTGTCCGAGTCTATCAGGATCATCCTCTTTCTGGTCTTGCGGCCGATGAAGGAGTCTGAGGACCTCTTTGGCGTTTTCGTCGGCCGCCGCCGCGGCATAAGCTCCGGTGACATTTCTGCTGTGGAACATGAATCTTGATATTTCAGTGTTGATATTGCAGTATTGTATTGTATTTTGTGTAGAAGGGGTTGCGTAGTAAGACCCAATGACTACTGCGACCTGGATATATCTATTGTAGTCTTTCCTTCGAAAACATTGCCCCCTCAATGTAGGATAACATTATCCTGTGTTGTAAGAATGTTCTATATGCATAAATTCCACACGGATAAACACCCAGATCCGAAACAATTATCTGTGGGTCACACAAATAGTTGTCCTGTGTGGGAATCGATTGGCTATTGCGCCATGGATTCATCTAGTTCTGTAGGGGCTAACTCCTAACACCGGATATGATGTTATAAATGATAATAGATACTGATATGAAACACTTTATTACTAAATTGATACATATAAAATGACACTTATAATATGATATGATATTTATGATATTTTGAGAACGCGTGGTTTGCTTGATGACCGAACGTGAACTGATTGATTCTCGCGGTATATTTTAATGCTTACACAACATATTGATGGACTTTAGGTAAAAAGTGCAAACAAAGCTGTTTGGTTCAATATTGAACCGAACAAGTTCTTAAAGTAAAGTAATACATGGTTTTATTTTAGTTTAGTTAAATTCGTAATATATAGTCTATTGTTTTTTTTTAATTGATTTTTAAGACTTGCTTTGTTTGACAATTCTACTAAAATAAATCAAAAAATTAAGATCATAATAAAATATAATTAAATAAACATACAAAAATAAACCATTAATTCAATCTAAGTATGTTGTTGTAAGTTGTATTGTGTGTCTATACATATTATACAAATATGTATTTACTCAGCAAGTACATGTAATTTATAAAAAAAAAATTAAACATACCTTCATCAGAAGAACTCACAACAAGTTTATTTGATGCATCAGATTGCCTTCTGATGCTTCCCTTTTTGCTTCTATCTGAAAAGCCCAATGCTATTAATAGAAACATTCATTTGTTGTTATTGACAAATAATTCAACTAATAAAGAGTGTCATAGGTTAATTAGCAAATTTACACATTGGTCAACACCCAATCAAGATTACCAATAAAATAGCAAAATACAAGGGGGTCTAAAATAATATAGAAAGGGGACATATTTGCATTTGGAAATATAATGTCTCACATAATATCAAATAGGAGATATTATATTCAATCCAATTATGAGGTAAATATGCTTAACCAGTGTCTCTGATGATTTTCTCAGAACTGGGTGTAGTCCTAGTCAGCTAACACCACAAGTCTGATATTTCCAAATGCATAAATACTGAAATTGCAGATATTGTTTAATAAAATTTGTAGATAAGCGGATGAAAAGTTAATGTTGAATGTACCCAGACTTGAAGCTTCCGGAAGACGCAGGTTCGGTTTCTGCGACTAAGCTAAACTTTTCGTCCATTTTTCTACAAATTTTAAAGTTTCATCATAACTGCAGAGACTAATAAATGTATGCTGTGCAGATGTTAATATTAACAAACACTGGATTTCATTAGGAATTGGACCTTGATGAATTTCAGGAAATATCTTATAAGGAATCTTAATTTCCTTTGGAAAACATACAACTGAAGAAAATTTTTAACACAAATAAAGACCAGATAAATATAAGCTAATAAAGTATATCCTGTATTTAGTCAAAACCTTTTTGCAATGGTGTATTTTGTCTTAGAATATTAAATGTACATATATCAGGTGTTAAAATGTTGAATAAAAATGCCTTTCTTTTCTGGAAGTATGTGATATTTATTGACATTGATGTATTAAAAAAAATTAAGATGTAAACAAAAAACTATTTATAGATAGTGAAAAAGGGTAAAAAGTTCTGAACGGCATTATTGTTAAAAATTCTTCATTCCGAAAATGTAAATGGAGATGAAATAAAACAATTGTACAATAATTAATCATAAGGAATTAAAACCCTTAAATCAAATAATAAAATGGAGTATATATAACTTAAATAAATAAATTCACATTGTTCTATCTATAGACATACAGACTAAGATAAGTGTAATATTTACCATCGTCACTACTAGATATAAGAGTTGGTGCTAGAGCACTGCTTCGTCGGGTGATTGATTTAGACGAAAATCTATGCTGCAAAGCATCTTCGTCAGACTTCCCTAGAAGAATATGTATTTGTGAACTTGGTTGGAACTTATTACAGTTACTATCGGAACTTATAACAGTTACTATCACCAGAAGATGCACGAAGATTCAGTACCTTCTGATTGTGATTCCTCAGACTCGGCAATGTAAACGGTGTGGTTTTTAAAAGCAGATTTCTTTTTTGAAATTACCGATTGCTCCAATAGACTATCATCAATAATTTCGGTGTCCGAGTCATCCACTCCAGTTGCATCTCGATATTCAAAAAATGAACTTTCCATAGTAATAGAACTTTACTTTTTCACCAAATATAAATTTTGGATACTTCTACATAAGAAAGTACTAATGTAAACTTTTATTCCAAGTAACCAAATCAAAACAATTTAAAACTTCATTGTCGTTGTGATGAACGTTATGATAGTGCATTACAATATTTTGGTTAATCGATGACTAATGACTATACTTTATAAAATAAATAGGTGAAAAATACTCTCTGGAAGTTAAGATACGATCCAATGAAAAGATTCATTAATTGATCAAATGATTTAACTTAGGCCACTTAATTATTTTGCAATAACCAAACGCCAATTGATTTCGTTTTACAGATTAAATAAAATTCAGTATATTATAAAGTACTCGGTGATAAAATTACAATTTTATTTGATAGAACGTCTCGACGTCTAGAATCTATTTTCCTAGATCGACACATTAAATCGTGAAAAAAAAAATTATGTTTAAAGTCAGTAAACAAGCACGAGGTTCACCGGGTGAGGATTTAAGTGATTATCGCCAACTTATGGACATCTGCAACCCGTCAAGTGTTGCAAGGCCAAATTGCCAACAATAAAAACTGAGCTTCAGGTACCTCACTCACCAGACGAAACGCGAAAGAATAATACTTCCACTTTGGAAACAACAATTTTTGAAAAATAGTTTCGTTATTAATTACGTGACAATAGAACGATCGTATGCAGAATAGTTAGTTCAAATAACCACACGATATAAGTTGTATACTATCTACTCGTTGACGTTACGTATACATATTACCCAAAAAAAGTAAAGTAACAGCCTATAGTTGTCTCGTAGCTGAGCAAAGGCCTACTCTATTCAGAGGGTATCACGGCATAGTCTACCACGCGGCCCAACTGCGGATTGGTAGACTTCACATATGTTCAAAATATTTTCATTTGTTATTATTTAGAAAATATGCAAACCTGCATATTTTGAAAATAATCGCGATGTTTTCCTTCACCGTGGAGCACGTGAAAAGTAATCACTTAAAATTAATAATTTCATTGGTGCCGGCACCGGGGATCGAACTCAAATTGCTCGAGTATATTGAATTAAAGGCGAGCGCTCGGACACTGAGCTATCACGGCTCTTAATCATTGTGTTTACCGTTGTATATAAATATCGATATTCGTGGTCAGACCAGACATCAGAGCTCGTTTTCTTCAATACTAACGAAAAAGTAGCACATAACCGTAGTGCTTAAATTCTTTTTGGGTTCCAGATGCGTTGACAACCTTTTGTAAATTGGGCTCCGGTTCAATCAGTTATTTTTGCTTGTTAGAACTAAGGTAACCGACATAGCACAGAAGATTAGCGAGCTGAAGTGGCGATGGGGCGGCCATATAGCTCGTAGAACCGATAACCGTTGGTGAAGAAAGGTTCTCGAATGGCAGCCTTGTACTGGCTATCGCAGTGTAGGACGACCCCCCCCACTAAATGGAGTGACAACCTGTGCAAGTGTGCGGGAAGTCGATGGATGCAGGTGCCTCAGGATTGTACATCGTGGCAGTATATGGGGGGAGGCCTATGTTAAGCAGTGGACTCAAACAGTTTGAAATGATAATGATGATGTTAGCGCGGCGCAAATTTTATTTATTTAATGTTTAGTGCCAAACTTATGTAAATAGGTAATAAAAGGCAGAATTAATGCCAAAAAACATTATCAACATTAAACCATCAGTAAACCCCGAACATGGTGAGAACTTATGGTAGTTGCAGCAACTTGTGCAATTTTGCGTAAAATATACTGCAATGTTATAGGCGGAAGCGATTTTGGCTTAGATCACAAAGTATACAGTGAAAAAAAAAAAAAAAAAAAAAAAGAAACCCATATATGACTTGCCTTAGGAGTGTTGCCAACCATTGAGTGTGGGCTTAGTTACCACATTCAAAGATGAAACACAAAAATTTAATACTTTTTTTAAACAAGTCATCTATTAGCTCAATTTAGCTGCAAAATTTTAGCATATCCGTGCAGGAGCTGTTACATAACCTGTTATTCCTCTACCATATGAGAAAAATTGACAAATAATGACATATTAGCTTTATTACACAAATTAATACAATAAGTTTATCATGAGTGCTTAAGTAGGCCTAGGCGTAGTAACTCAAGTTGGCCTTTTTCTTAGCCTGCACTTCCAGGATGGCATCCATAAAGTCCTCATGAGTGACGGCAGCTGCGGAACGACGTAATGCGATCATACCGGCTTCCACGCACACTGCCTTGCACTGTGCGCCGTTAAAGTCATCCGTCGATCGTGATAGTTCCTCAAAGTTTACGTCTGGGCTCACATTCATTTTACTGTAACATATGATAATGAGCAAAATCAATTACCAATTTAATCTAATATATTCAATGCTCACAGGGAAGCAATTTTGACTATCATACATCCACCATAAATGTATTTCCAATCAGTGACCTTAATATTTTATAATAAATACACAAAATTCTTACGGTTCATTTTAATTACTGCAAAAATGCATATCATTTTCTTTTTAACAATACTGACCGTGAATGAATCTGCATAATTCTCGCCCTCGCCTCTTCATTTGGATGAGGGAACTCAATCTTTCTGTCAAGTCGACCAGATCTAAGTAGTGCAGGATCAAGGATATCCACTCGGTTAGTTGCTGCAATAACCTGTTTACAAACAAATGCAATGTTTTGGCCGTATTTATCTTTTAACAAAGAGAAAATCAAAAAGTGTGTTTTCTGGTTAAAAGAATATTTCAGCGTTAAAAACAAAATAAGATGTAGTATGTATATATTTTGTGAGCTCTGTCTTAATCTTACCTTGATATCAGCAGTGGAACTAAAGCCATCCAACTGGTTAAGTAATTCCAACATGGTGCGCTGCACTTCACGATCACCTGCCTTTTCTGAGTCGAAGCGTTTTGTTCCAATGGCATCCAGTTCATCAATAAAGATAATTGCAGGTGCCTTTTCCTTTGCCAGTGCAAAAGCATCTCGAACCAACTTTGCTCCATCACCTGAGGGTTTCAAGAATACAAATTTATGTAAAAATTTATTCAACAATGTTAATCAATTTGTTAATCAATCAACAAATTAATTGAAATTCTTTTTTTAAACTTATGTACATATTTTTCTTAAAGTAAGCAATGGTTACCTATAAACATCTGTACTAGCTGTGGTCCCGCTAGTTTAAGGAATGTTGACTTGGTCTGTGCAGCACAGGCACGAGCCAACAAGGTCTTGCCAGTACCAGGTGGCCCATAGAGAAGAACTCCTTTAGGTGGGTGGATACCCAAATTAACAAACTTCTCTTTGTGTGTCATGGGCAACACCACTGCCTCAATAAGCTCCTATAATAAGTTGAGTAATGAAAAAAGTAAGATTTAACAAATTATAAAACAAACCCAACCCATTTCCAAGAAGATTAAACATTTTACTCAAAATTAATGATAATTTAAGTTTAACTTAAATTATAAATTTTAACTTTTACTTTGGTTATTAATCTTAAAGTATGTGACAAATTTATGAGTCAAAGATTGTGGTTAGTATATAAAAAGAGAAACTCATTAGTCTCTGTCTTGCCTTCTTCACAGTGCAAGATCTTTTCATTTTCACTTGTGAAATGTTTAATTATTACTATGTATAGTTCAAAAACTCACCTGAATTTGTTTGTCCAGACCACCAATGTCTGAATATTGTTCAGTGGGCCTCTCATCAACTTCCATAGCTTTCACCCTGGCATCATACTCAGCTGGTAATGTCTCCAAAATCAAGTAAGAATCCTTATTCACTCCAACTAAATCACCGGGTTTTAGTTTGTCTGCATCAACCAAGCCAATAACTGGTAAGAAATATGTCTGTCGCGTAGAGGTCTTAATAACTGCGCATTTTCCTTTTCTCTGAGAGTCCAAGTCCACAACAGCACCGTCTTCTTCTCCTTCTTGAGGATCAACATCAAGAAGCTCGATAACATTTGACACTAAATAAGGTAGAGTTTTGTTGACCTTAATTTTCTCTGTGTTTTCTTTTATTTTATCATTTTGTGCTTGTAATTCATGAGTTATTCTCATCACTTCGCTTTTCATGATCTTTATTTCATTGTCCAGAAGCCTTGTACGGCTGATAATTTCATCTGTTGGCATACGAAGTACCTCGTCGCTAAGAGCTTCTTCACCATCCTCCCAAATAGATTTATCTTCTAGAGTTGTGGCCATTGCTTTTTTATGATCTAACCACCTTTTTTAACTAATAATAATGTTTTTTTATATACAAACTTGGAAGCACAATTCAATTCTATACAAAATGAATTGTCATTCCAGCAACCAGCAACTCAGTTGTGCAAATGTGTTGCTATATCTGACTGAAAATTATTTCACATTTGCATAAAATAAAAAAGTAAGATGTGAAAAATTCACATAATTATTTTAAAGTATCTACAATTATACCAATAAATCTTATTTTATGTTTAGTGTTAATTAAATATAATTAATATGTTTATTTTTATATACGTAACAAATCTGGATATTAGTTCTTGTACTAGTAAATTTTTATGTATCATAAAATAAAGTTTAAGTACTTATTTTTCTGTAATTAGGTATTTTATTACAATTTAATACAAGGAGAAGCAATATCTATCGGTTTAATTTTGTAATTTTTTTACAGATTCACCTTTCTGATTTTGATGTTTTGAATAACTTGACATTTAGTTTCTGCTGTTTATATTGGACAGATTTGTCCCAGTATTTTATCGCATATTGAAATATTTTGTGAATACACTTTATATTTCATTTTGCATTATTATAGTTAGAAAAATAATGGCACTATCAATGTTTCTCCGTACACCAGGTAGTGTACCTTTGAATGTTATTGAATATAATTTATTCTCACATTACATAATAGTTAATACGGAGTGGCGTTTATATTTTATTTTTATTGTCATTTCGTTTCTTTAAAAGGACTAAATACAAACAATTATATGTAATATTATCAAAATCGATTTTATATGAATAAAGTGATGTGTAAGGTTATTATTTCTGTATTTAATGTCTTATACTCAAAAGAAGAGATATTAACATTTTTGGTTATGAAGATTGTTTTCTAATTTTATTTTTTAAATTATATTTAAAACCATTTGAAATGATAATAGAAATATATTTTTTACAGAGCAATGAAAATTTTTAACGCTTATTTTAATGTAAATTTTTATAAGGACCACCACTAAAGCACTTATTGTAAGACATTTTTAAATCTTCACTGAAGTGATTTCATATTTTCTATTTAAAAATAAAATTAAAGGAAATATGCCAATGAAAAAAAAAAAACAACCAGTTTCTACACTAAGTGTTCCCAATGGGTATTAATCATATTTATATTACTTTATGAGTGGAAAGTCAATATATCTATCTCTTAATTTTATTTCAGTATGTACAAATCAGGCATTCACAAAGCAGATAATGCGTCTCGCAACATACTCTGCAACAAGCAACTCATCATTGACTCTCCGTGCACTCCCAAGTGTTTTGTCACATAAAGACCATGCGATTAAGCCACAAACTACACCAATATTTGATTCGGTTAGTATTGAAACAATCTCTTTAACACCCACATGTCTAGTTGTAATGGTCTTACAGATATGGCTATTGTCATCCTGTTTAATTGTGCTTATCTGGTCCAATAATAACAGGTATTATGCTGATATTATAAAAACAACAAAATATCTGCTATAAAAATGTCTGTAGCATGTAATGTAACTTATACGTAAGGTGCAGATGTGACAGACGTATTTACCAAAACATGTAAATGTAAGAAAAGAGAGTAACTCATTCTTTTATTTCTGCATATTTGTGGTATATGAATCCCTTTTACTCTTCCTGATAAAAGTGCTGGTAAAAGTGTATTTTAGATAATATATATATTTAATATTTACAGCAAGGGTTTTCTACTTTTTATTTACAACAATGGTTTTGTACTTTTTATTTGGAACAAGGGAGTAAAACAAGACAGTTTTTACCTTTTGAGCACCAAGTTCAGCAATTACAATACCTAAAATGCTTTGGACATTTATGTAATATGTCTAGATATTTGTAAATATATGTTTTTCACAAATACTTTTATTACTTTTGAAATACATCTTTATAAGATGTTATATAATATTTATTTATATATCAGTAATAAGCCTTAACACTTTCTTTGTAGTCTAAAAATTCCTTAACAAAATAGTGTATTTTAGAAGCCGGTGACTTTTTATCGAAAGGAGTAATTTGTTAAAACCTGTTGTGCCCATCATAATAATTTTTTTTAAATAAGTGTTTCATAAAATATTCAGTAAATGAATAGTTGAAAGCCCTAAAATAAAAATTTCTCTTTAAATTAACAGTTACAACTTGTTTACAGGTAAATTGAAGGTTTATTGTACTATCACCAACCACTGTGGAATTGTTGTTTTCTTGTCAGAAGTGTATTATTGTCATTCGTCCACAATTTTGAGTCAGACACATCCTGCCCTTGTATTCACATTGTATTATTTCATTTGTTTCTTAGTTGACTTCTACATTTTTACCCACATACATGTATTTAAAAGTGCATATTATGCATATTTAGTATTAATTACAGGCTGTTTCAATGAATTAGTGTTGAGTTATGACCTAAAAACTCATTTACTTTTTTCAATGTGTGGCTTTAATTCATCTGAAGATGTGATGAATCACAGTTTAAACAAGAAACATGATTCAATAAAGCATAGGAAATAAGCAGCTGTTTATTTTATCGCTGTTTATCATTTAACATAAGTACGTTTAAGCCTCTACTGTACTAAAAATAATACGGGTTCTTGTGGGGCCCATAAGTTCAAGAAAAAAATTTAATAGTGTGTGTGTACAATTGCACAGTCAAAACAAGTTATTTTATGGCTGCAATTGTATTCAAAGGTCATGTTGATAAAGTACTTGAATAAATTTACAAGAGAAGTGCATTAACAATGTTTATCTTCTGTATTATCTCGATCTGAGCATCATTATTATTAAAAAGAAACATGTAGAGAATATTTATTATTTGTTTGCAGGTGCGGTCATTCCGCACGACGGCGGTGCGCATGTCCGATGACGAGAAACCCCACGACCACGCCAAGCTGTGGGTGATAGAGAAGGCCACCAGTGCTCTACTGGTGCCCCTCATCCCCCTCGGGCTGCTCATTCCTAACAAACTCTTTGATTCACTGCTCGCCATTCTTATAACGGCCCACAGTTTTTGGTAAGCCGGTTAATCTTTTTCTTGTTCGAATGACGCGGAGAATTAATAATTTCTTTAATTATTCCTGTCATTCAAACTTTTTTTTATCAGTTGTAGGTACTATGGTATAAGACAGTATCAACAATAGTTCAATTTGTTTTAATAGATGATATAAACAACAAATAGTCTAGTATGTTAATTGAAAGATGTAAAGACAAAGTATTTTTTTTTAACTTTTAGAAGTCTAATTTTTAATTCCACTGATTTAGAGTCTGTTGCATGATGTGAATGCCAACCTTTTATAAGCCTAATAACTTTGCTACTTTTTGCTATGAATTGAACTTATGACCATCAATTACTAATCAATGTCAATATCCTTGCCATTAGGCTGCAGTTTCTTTTGTAATGTTATGTGGTAGAATGTCAAAATCATCTCTCAACAATTAATCCATAATGCATCACTTCCTGTATCCCCATGACCAGGGGTATGGAGGCCCTAGTGGTGGAGTATATCCGAGTGCTTCTATTCGGACCCCAAATACCCAAGATTGCGATGGGTGTGGTTTACGCACTGACCGTTCTGATGCTGGGCGGCCTATTCTTCCTTAATTTCAACGACATCGGCCTATGTCGCGCCTTCTGGAAGATTTGGCGCAACATGAAGAAACCCAAAGATGCATACCCGAAGCACAGGGTTAATGAGCTGTATTCCATCATAGTCCAATTAGTACTATTCAGAATTAGAGATTAAACTCATTTGGACGTGGTAAAGTTAGTGCATCATTAATATAGGTAGAAAAAATGTACTAATTGAATCCCAATTCCGCCGCGCAACCCAATACGCTAGTCGTAGGTGCCGTAACCTACAGACCAACGCCGCTAGGTTCCCCCGGTTGATGATTGAAGCGTTGCTGGAGTTTCTTCCGCCACTTGTTCTCCCATCGCCAACGGTTTACCAAGTGGTAGTAATGTTCGACAGCTACCGATCGAGCCGAGGTCCGGCCCTCTCGGGCACCCTCGAATCGGAATGCTAAACGCGTGTTGAGTGACAGCCCAAGCCGAGGTCCCTTGAGTCTGATCACTCCATGGAGCGCCCGCCAAAGCGCCCTAAGAGCTTGGCGGCCTCCCAAACCGGTGATAATAGAGTGACGGCCCGAGCCGAGCTTAGTCGCCATAAGGCGTAATAATAATACGCCGAGGTTGGGCGCCCCGTGCGCCACTCCAATTCCGTCGGAACTGTAAAGGCCCCTAAAGCCAAGCTCATCGGGAAAAAAAACTTAGGAAATCAGTTCTGTTGCGTACGGCGACGCTTAGGGCACGCGCCGAGGTGCTTCGTACCGTATGAACGCTTTCTGGACCTTGCATTCGTCATCCCTGTATTTGTAATTAAATTGTTAAACGAGAGTTTATTATTCTACATTACTTTTTATTTTAATAAAGGACCGGTAGTAGTATTTGCGTCTTTAAAAATCAATTATGTTTAATTATTTGCGTCGTTACGATAATGAAACGAGTAACAAGCGTAGCCAGTTTATTTTTGTTGTTATTAAGTACAATTATGATCATAACAGTAGTGTTTTAAAGAGTTCATGTTTAAGGAAATGTAATAATTTACTTTTAGTTTATTCTTATAGTTATGTCATATACAGCGTGTCGTTACCACCGCGACAATAAATGAACTCACATATAGAGAATAACTTTTTAAAATTGTATTAAGCATTTACATTCTTCAAACATCAATATTTACAGAGTTATAAAATTCTCCAAACAAACAATTTTAGAACACCCTTACGTATAAAACTGTAACGTAAAGATCACAAAGCATATGAATGGTTTGAATGAATTTAAAAGAGACAAAACATACTATTAGAAGGAGAGGCTTGTAATGCGACGCTGTGGCGCGAGTTGTATAGGTGTTACAAATTTTGTTTCTTTTTTACTTAATTAGTTTGTTTGAAAAATATTGTTTTTTAATTATGGATTTTGTTTAATGTTAATATTTTTTTATGATTATTGGCAAGTAGCGTCAAACGTGTGTTCATTTATTGTCGCGATGGTAACGACAAGCTGTATAAATAACTAAGTTAGAAGTTATTATAAGACACATATTTCTCATTATAGGCACAACACATTACCTTTATTCTCAATCCTCTTAATATACAGTTTGACTACTTCATTCACTGAAATCCATTCCTAGTAAATTTCTCATAATAATTATACTACCAGTATTGTTAAAGTTAGACTTCTGCAACTAATTACTTGAGTCTTGAGTGTGATAAGTTGTTCATTTTACCGTTGTTGTACTTCGTAGTAGTAAATTATTGAATAAAATCTGATGAATGATAACATATACCGGGTGGCGCAAATGTAACCACAATAATTTGAACACAGTTACATTATTCATGGGTTCATATAATTATGTTGGTGAAAGTAATTTAAATGAGATAGATAAATTATGAAATCAGATTAGAACACACTTGGATAGGTGCAATGTCATCTTTTTAGTATGTGAGGTGGCCATTGGCAGTTCACGTGATGTTAAGTTATAACCGCCACCCATTGAAATTAACAACACCCGTAGGGTTGCAGATGCGTTATTCACTTTTAATAAAGTTGGCCCCGGCTACCTCACTCACCAGATGAAATGCCTAAGTATAACACTTCCATTTCAAGCGGATCTTCTGCGAGTTTTCTTTATTTCTTCTGCGAGCATTCGTGCAATGGCGAGAAGCCACGTGGCCCTACAGAGTCATAACGATCTCGAGTTGTCTGAATGTGAGGAATGTATAGTGAAAGTGATATAGAGATAATCAAAAGAGCAATCAATGTAACATTGTGTTAATAGCAATTATTTAATATTGACAGGGGTCTGGAAGCGATAGCTGTTGATTACGTCCGCGCGAGCATATTCGGCCCCGTCATCCCCAAAATTGCAATCGGCCTGGTGTACCTGATCTCCATCGCGACCCTGGGTGGCCTGTTCTACATCATCAGCCACGACGTCGGCCTGGCCAACGCCGTGAGGCACTTCTGGTCGGTGAAGTCAAATAGCCAGGTCGCCTGAGCCGCCCTCCCGCCTACTTAGATGCTGGTAAACGGTTTTCTCAATAATTGCCACTAATATAGCTCGTGTCTGTTGAACTTTGGATTTCGTTCGTACTTAGCTCAAGAGTTTGTCTTAAGTTTTTTTTTCTTTTATCTTATACTTTCTGTCATATTTTTAATCAGTTTTATTTTTGCGTCCCTAGTATATGGGTTCTAAACAAAATTTGATGTTCTGAACATCTTTAAACTTAATTTTTTTTGTTGTGAAGAGATCCTAGATAGTTTTTTTTAAAAACCCTTATTGTTACCATTTTTACACAAAATACTCTGTATAATTTAGAAATAATTCCAAGCGGAAATAAAATTTATAGTATTATAAAAGCCTTTGTTAGAATCTTAACCAGCATCTGATGTTAAAATTAGTTTCAATGAAGATGACAAATTTATTTCATCAAGCAGTACAAATATTGGCAGATTATACAAATGCCTACTTCAGCTTAGATTTTTTAAGTTATCGACGAATATGTGATTTCAATTTATGTTTGTGTTTTATAAAGAGAAAATCAAACATCTGCCACAAAGACATTTTCGAAGGACAATATGAGTGAGGTACTTAAATCAAAGAAAATATAATTATTTTCTTATGTTTAATTTGCAACGAAATGTCAAACAACTATTGACATTTTTGACAATAATCTGTGAAAAAGTTGTTTATTTGAAGTTTCTGTTATAAATTGATGAGCAATAATTTTGTTTATTCATCGTAATTTTCTTCATCATTTATATTCTCTAGTATTGTACTCGGTACACTCGGAGGAACAAGCCTTGTGTATTGTTGAATTGACTTTTAGCTCTTATGTGCTAATGATGCCTTTCATGTTACGGTATAATTTATTGTTAGTATAATAAAAGTATTTACAGTTGGAAAATATATTGTTTTATTTCTTATTAGTTCTGATGTTAATACTCTCTTCTTTTCACTTGGTCATAATGAGTGTATTATCAAGTGGAAATTATGAGAACTTATAATAAGTTCAAAATCAAGTGGTGGCAGGGGTAATTTTTGTTAAGTTGTCAAGCGAGCAGACGGTTCATCTGATGTTAAGTGAATACCGCCGCCCATAGACATCTGCTACACCCGAGGGTTGCAGAAGCGTTGACATCCTTTTGAAAAATGGGCTCCGGCCACCTCACTTACCAAACGAAACGCGAAAGTATTATACTTCCACTTTAGGAGGTCTTTCTGTGAGGTCGTGGTACTTACCCGGACGAACCTACCCATTCGTGCAACAGCCGAGGCTGTTGCGTGGCCCTACCACCGTAGAAATACATATGAACAAAAAACAAGAAAAACAATTTAACGAATTATTTATTTTTGTAAGCATATACAAAAAAAAATATTTTTTTTTACATCGTCTGAAAGAAACTAGCAAGTTTTCTAAACGTCAAGTCGTCAACGAAGAAGATATATTTTATTTCGTTTTAATTTTATACAGGCAGAACACTAAGTGTGCATGGATGACCAATCCGAGACTATATTAATGGCGAAAAGTACTTAAGGAGGTCCCGTTTTTCCCTTTGGGTACGGAACCCTAAAAACCGATATAGCTAGCCAGAAAATAATATTACTGTCCATGTCGTTTCTATTCAGTGGTTCTCCAAAAACCGTGTTGTAATTTTATGTTTTCCTCAAAATCGGACCTGAGACTAGATTTGGCCATCTCAAACTCATCCTGCTTGAATTGAATTTGTTTTTACGGACGAATAGTTGATTAATTTATCAAAAAAATACTTTTATAAAGGTAAGTAATGCATTACACGTGCTGGGCACCAGCAACTGTGCAGCTATTTGTATTCATGCAGTGGTTCTTAGAGTTTTTACAGTCATAAAATATTATTTATCCATTAAGTACTCGCAGCAAAACCAGGAGGTAGTTTTGGTATACATATAAACAAGTTTAAGACAGGCAAACAACATCCGTTAGAAAACTTCATTGTAGTTGTACTATGGCAAATACCAAAATATCTTAAAGCACCTTAAAGTATCTGTTATATGTAATGGTTTTATAATTAAAAGATAACGGTATAGATAATAAATCCTATCTATTAATTAAAACAAAGATTGTTGTGACAAATCGGTATTACCATTATGCTTTACAAAATACTTCTAAATACTTTCGTTGTAACATATAGATATGCTGTAATAATAAGGTTATTACGTAAAAAAATCGTAAATAACGATAAGTTTTTTGAGACAATATTTGTATACAATGACAAGCAATTTAATTATTATTTTAATTATTAACTATATTATTTAAATAAAAGTAGACGATTCGTCATATTATAACATTAAATATTGAACGTTTTTAAAATGCCTACAATACATTGTGAATTCCTAACCAAAAAAATTTTTTGATCGTACTAAATTAGGGATGTCAAAAAGAAGAAATGTATCGATATTTTTCGGCATCCCGATCATAAATATTTACACGTAGTGTTGTATATTAAATAAATATCTAAATATAATATATTTAATAAATGGTTTACGTGGTGGAACTTTTGTCGGTGTCCAATCTTAAATGCCTCCGGTGAAATATGTCGAGGGCCTGCCATTGCTTTGTGTGCAGCAGAATGTGGGGTCGTCTCGACTTCATGTATTCCACCGCCCTCTCGGGTGACCAGCCGTTCTTCTGAAGCGGAATAAGAATATATATTGTTTTCTATAGCCAGAGAGTCATGAATTTCAAAGTACTTTTTTATGTAATAAGATAGAGAAAGGTATGCCCGATCTAATATCGATGGAAGCCATATGTTAGCATAGAAGGAATATTACGGAGAGGGATACGCTTGGTTTTTTTATGTGAGAATGTGGCAAGCGAGCTGGCGGTTCACCTGATGTTAAGTGATAACCGCACATGGACATTTGCAACACCTGTAGGGTCGCAGATGAACAGGATGTTACCACGTGTGGGTACTAGGAAACGAGGGAAGCTAGAAGATGTGTGTAACTTAGTGTGAGACGTGAATTTTGAACGCACCATCATGAGGTAGCAGCCGACCAGCGTGGCGCTCCTTGTCCGCCCCGCCTTGCAGTGCACGTAAACGCTGCCGCTGCCCACGTGCCCACCGTCGGGAACGCCGCCCAGCTTACCGCCCACCGGAAGAAACCTGGCACACCAGCCTACATTAATGGCCACCATATGATCATACGCTGCACAGTTGCCGAGGTATCGGCTTCGTTGGTCGATTCCCACACGGGACAACTATTTGTGCGTCCCGCAAGTAATTTTTTCGGATTTGGGTGTTTGTCCACGTGAAATTTATGTATGTAAAACGCCCTTACTAACACAAGATGATGTTATCCAACAGTGAGGGGGCAATGTTTTCGAAGGGAGGACTATGATAGATCTTTCTAGGACGCAGTGTTCGTTGGGACTTATTACCCAACCCCTTCCACACATATTTAATGTCATACGCTACACTGTAGTGTTGAAACAGGCAGACTTGTCGCACCATAGAATGGAGCATCTAAAATTGCCTTAACACGAAACACAGAATGACACGCCTCATTGTCTGCTCGTTTTTAAATATTTTTAATGGTTGGCGTTAAAAAATTCAATCGGGGGGGAAATTGATGGAAACAAATGAGTCAATATCGTACGTAATTAAACTGCCGAAAATATTTTAATCAGTTATGATTAATCGAAAACCTTTGGTCGTATGTAATAGCTGATTAAAATTAAGCTATTTATGTGTGTATACTTCGAAGTTGTTTCAGTATATAAACAAAGCTTCTATTATATGACAACATTATGATTCATTTACGACTTCTATAAATAATCCTTCCGAATGTAATCCTTGCAATTTATCAAAACTACAGTCATATCCCAAGTGCGTCAAGAGTGAAACTATACTATTGTCACCTTTCAGTAGATTCCGGAGTAGAGAATTGAAGGTCTATAGAATAAGAATACCAACCAATTTTTAATGCAAACAAAACATGTATGACATGTTAGCAGCGGGCCCTGTAACCAAAGGGGCTAGGTCTGATAGCGAAAACATCATCCCCTAAACAATGAAGACGTCCTATAAATAACGACGAACGGCGTAATCCGTAACCGACCGGTACCTGTTAATGAACCTGACTCCTTCGTAAAGTTTGTCCTGGTCGGGCGCCTCGAAGATATCCGTGGTGGCTAGCTGCAGGAACTCTACGCCGTGTTCGCGCCATTTCTGCAACAACGAGGCCCTTGAGTTTGTTCTGTCTTCGCAACAAGATCCGCTATACATTCAAGATACTGATGGTAACCCTACGAAACTATATGTAAAACTTTTAATGAAAAATTGACGATTAATAAGAACGCGCAAGCGTGTATTCGAATAAAGATATTTGATTGATTGATTGAGTAAAGGTAGGACGCACATATTACACTGTGTGCGTCCTACGTTTGTGTGTATTATTTTTTGCCGCTTTTATAGATTGAATGGTACGGAACATTTCGTGGGCGAGTCTGACTCGTTCCTACAATATGTAAGTAGACTTGTTACCTGCACCTCTAAATTAGTAAACTGATGGCAAATTCGGACGTTCATAGGATATTAGAACAAACCCTAACAGAATATAAAATACTAATTTTGTTTATTGGCTAACTCAGTTTCATAAAGAATACATTTCTAGGGCTATGTTTATGGTGTTCGCATTTTTATTCTCTTTACCGCAAAGGCTGAACGGGTTCTAATGAATTGAGCAAAAGCGCTGCTTTTTATTTCGAGGGGAAGACAACAAAGTGAGCAAGAGGTTAAGCTGGGCACACATCAGGCAATAGGTGCCACGGTCCGCACTGAATCTTAAAGGCGCGTATGTGACAATCCCTCGCTAATCGGATCGGCTCTACCCAAAAAAAGGGATTTATCAATTATCAAGCTCTTGGCTATTGCACGAACTCTGCTTTCGATGAATCTTTAATAGGCTACGGACAGAAAGTAAGAACATTCATCAATAAAGATATAGATCTGTGTAACTACCGCTGCCTATGAACAAACAAATAAGAGCGATTACAAAAAAATATTTTGTAGACGCGTTGCCAACCGCACAGAGCGTGAGCCTCCGGCTATCTGTCAATAGACCAAACTTAAAAGTATAAGTACTTCTTATTCTTTCTCCTGCAAATGTCAATGGGTGGTGGTTATCGTTTAATCAGGTGAAGCGACAGCTCTCGTGTCGCCTTCTCACATAAAAGAATCAACCCTGTTCTATTGTGTTCGTTATTTGAGTTTTTAAAAAGAGAAATTAATACTAGCGCTACCTACAGGAAAGCGACAAGTATCAAATCGAGCGTGGTCCATCACAATGTTTTCGAAAACATAGAACTATAATTGAAATTACATATTATTTATACAAAACTAACGCAGGGACGCAATGACGCAGTCTTAGAATTTGTGTATTATATTTTATCAACCATCAGATAACTTTGAATAACTGAGCAGCGTTTATTACAATTTACAATGCATATGCTAAAGACTGTTGGCTCCTTTGTCAGAGTGGAGGTATGATCGATAACATCTTATTCATGTTCACGGGTAAAGTTAATGATGTAAGAATCGCTTGCAAGAACTGAAGGCCTATAAACGTAGCATAATGATTAAAATATCTGAATAACAAGCGACACATGAAAACTGCTAGTTTGGAGTGTTTTTAGTAGTACCGTCTGGTAATATATCTTTATACATATAATTCTTCTGTACGTGTGTGTCACTGAACTCCTCCTAAATGGCTGGACCGATTTTAATGAAATTTTTTGTGTCTTCAGGTCGATTCGAGAATGGTTTAGACTCAATTCAACATTTTTTTCATTTCTAAGTTGTCGAATTTAAGTCGATGTACAGGACAACGTCTGTCCGGTACGCCAGTTATAATATAAATGCATAGAATCAAGTTTTTCAATTCAAGCTTTGGAAATCCCATTTTGTTGCCCACACACAGTCAACTGATATATTGCGGATTGTCGCTGATATGCCTATTATCTATTTTCGAAATTTTGATATCGATTCTATTTGTGTACGACAATGAAAAAAAAGGTGCTTGCATCATAAATTAGTAATGATAATATATATGCAATGTACGACATTCATATACATTAATAGTATTGTTGGTCATGCAGTAATAAAGAGTAAATTACATTTAAATACATAAAAATACATTTAAACAGAAAATAAATGTATCACTTATTTGGATGACTCCGTGGCTCAATTACCAAGGTATTTATTTGGCTTTTGCACTGGGGGACGTGGATTCGATATTTACACGAGACAGCTATTTGAGACAACAAATAAATGTTTCGGATTTTTGCACGTGAAATTTATTTACGTATAATGGTCCTTACGGCACAGGATAATTTTACCCTACATAAAGGGACAATGTTTTCGAAGGGGAGACTAGAATAGATCTTTCTAGTTTGGAGTAGTGATTGGGTCTTACTACCCAACAACTTCCACACAAAGTACAGATACAAAAGGTCACTTATTTCCTTAATATTCAAAATGATGTCTGTATAAGAAAATGTATGGGCATATTTGCATCAGAATGCCTTAAGGTACATTGTAATAACAAGTGTATGATAATTGCATTAGTCACAAAGATGGTGAAGTCAGAGGTCAGCAACAGTTTGTATCTCTATTTTGTTTGAGTACATTAGATGTGTAAATTTCAAATTCACTTGGATTATTTTCATAATCATTTGTTTTACGTAGACATAACCAAATAATAAAAACAAATACACGTTTGTTATTAAATTGAAATATAAATAATCTGATGATGCAAGATTCGGGAACATGTACAAATTTGGAAAAAACTAAAAATCTTTTATTTCCAAATAGTTATTTCATAGTCTTACGCCCAGTTTCGAAACATCATTGAACATTGATCATTCTGATCAATTCGAAGAGTTTAACAATCCTTTCGGCAACTCAAATAACATTTGATGTTTAATAACGTTACATGACTCCGTGGCGTAGTCGCCAAGGCATTGGTTTCGGCGTCGGGGGTCGTGGGTTCGATTCCCACACGGCACAACTATTTGTGCGACCCACAGATAGTTGTTTCGCATCTGGGTGTTTGTCCTTGTGCAATTTATGTTTGTAAAACGTCCTTACAACACAGGATAATGTTATCCTTAAGTCAGGGCATTTTTAAAAAAAGAAAAAAAAATCCATTTGACAGCAGGTTAGTTGACTTCTACGATGATCAGTGTTTCAGAAACCGATTGATTGACTGTTGACTATACAAGATAGAATTTAGAAACTAGCTAAATTTTAGCCAAATGGCATTTCTTTTAAACTGAAAAAAAAAAAAAAAAAAACGGAAAAACGGTGTTTTCCTCTATGTTGTAATAATATTTTAGTATGAACTAATTATGTCTGTTACAGTTTACATTCTGTATTTTTAGTCACACTCTTTGAATTTTATGCAAGTTAAGGCAAGAAGTAAACTTACCTCAGCATCATTAGAGAATATTTTGAGTTCATAGCTCTCATTCATGGACACCACTCCTTTTATGTTCTCCTCATTGATTAACTGAAAAGAGTGAACGAAGATTTTTAGATATTTCAATAAACATCTACAAGACTTGGGTCTTTTTTTTTTTTTTTTCTTTTTTTTTTTTTTTTTTTCATTATCTTTATTTTTATGGAGTTTTTATCTATAAAGATACGCCAACCCCATCGTAACTTATACATATCACAACAACTTACGAAATACGAAACCTTAAAAGTATACAGATTTATTAAACCAGGAATTACTGTTTGTTGATTTGAACAAGACCGCAAATACGTTTTATTGTTTCACTTTTGGGATTCGACAATATATTAAATATAAGACCAACATCTAATAAATTTACATTCAGATCTTTAAACAGCAGTTCCCTTTTATTTCGGTTCTTTTCACAGACCATCAGCATATGATACACATCTTCAATTTTATTGCATACCTCACAATAGGGTGAAGCAGCCTTCCCCATTAAGAAAGAAAATTTTGCCGATGGATAGTGCCCAGAACGAAGTCTTAGTGCTAATTTAACATAATGTCTACTTAATTTACAATCATCAAACCAAAGCCTACACAGAGGCTCGTTTTGAATGACTTTATACCATAGTCCTTTCTCTTTTGACATTTCATTGAAATGGCTTTTCCAATTGTTAAAACATTTTATTTCAAACCTTGCAACATATTCCCAATAATCTGGTAGATATGAAACCTCATTACCCCTCTCGCCAGCCATTTTTGATAACCGGTCTGCTTTCTCATTACCCCGCAATCCTACGTGTGCTGGAACCCATTGCAATATAATTCTACAATTAATTTTGGTAAAAATATAAATCACTCTTAGAATATCATAGGCTATCGAAGCATCTCTACAGCCAGAGACCATCGAGCCAAATGTAATAAAGCACTCTTGCTATCAGTAAAAATCACCACTTTACTGATATTTTTATTAAAGGCGTACAGTATAGCTTGATAGATTGCAGTGAGTTCCAGGGACATAATAGAAATATTTGCCAAAATTTTAAAGCACTCATTATGACCTACGTTTTGAACGAAAAAAGCAACTTCACCCTGGTCAATATTTTTTGATCCATCTCTAAAAATTCTACACCAATCATTATACTTAGACTCTAATTCCAAAACTACATTATGTAATAAAACATTGGGTTCATAAACTTTTTTTGGGTGTTTAACACATTCTAATTCACTTTGAATAATATTTTTCACAGTAAAATAAATTAAACATATTATGGATATCTGATGAAACAATTTGGAGCTGGTTTATTTCATTGTATATAGTAGCAAGTAAGGGTTTTTTTTATTTGTCCAATATCTATTATTTATATGTGTGCCCAATTCTGCAATTGTATTTAAATTTACATTATTAGACCATGACATTAGTTTTGAAATGTATTTATAAGCTAGGAATTGACGTCTTATTGACAATGGAGGTAAATACAATTCGCTTTCCATCACGTGGATTGGGCTGCTTTTTATAAAACCACCTACTATCCTAAGAGCTCGGTTTTGTATCTTATCAAGTTTAGAAGTATGCATCCTGCTGCTAGAGTCATACAAGTAGCAACCGTAATCTATTCTACTTCTTATTACTGAAATATATATTTTTCGCTAATTTTTAGTATGCATTCCCCAGGAGTTACCAGTTAATATTTTAAGTATGTTTAAATATTTTCAACATTTTTTAACTGTTTCATTAATATGTTTTTGCCAAAGTAAGCTTCGATCCAACCATACTCCTAAATATTTAATATGTTCTACCCTAGTCAAATGCTGGTTATATATTTTCAAACTAGGCATTATTCTCCTTCTTCCCCTGCTGAAAATACAAAAATTTTACTTATTTGGAGATAGAGTCAATCCAATCTCATCTAGTAATAAGCTTAAATGCGTTAATGCTTCCTGCAAATAACGTTCGCATTTATTTATTTGTTTGTCACTTATGAAGAAAACAAAATCATCTGCATATTGTGATATCATAACGTTACTAATCTGAACACATATTTTGTACGTAACTAGATTAAACAATAAAGGTGACAGTGGATCTCCTTGTGCCAGACCTCTATTGGTCCACCTATATTCACTTTCTTCCGTACTAAACGATTTGATATATAAATGTCTTTCATTCATAAAGGACCAGAGATAAGCACAGAATTTAGACCCAATCTGTAGTTCATCTATTATTTTTATAACAGATTCAATTGTTACATTATTATAGGCGTTTTCAATGTCTAAAAAACATACAACTGTAGGAATGTTTTTTGTAAATCCATTTTGAATGTGAGATACAAGACAAGATAATGCGTCTAAACACGAATATGATTTCCTAAATCCAACTGTATATGGAGATAGAAATTTATTATTTTCTACATACCATTCAAGTCGTTTACACAGCATTTTATGAAATATTTTGCACACACATGACATTAATGATATAGGTCTTAATTTAATTTCACTATTATACCCTATGTTATTTAAATTTTTTGGTATGATTTGAATATTTCTCCATTGATAAGGGATAACACCGAAACGGAAAATGTTATTATATATCCTTAGAAGAAAGAGTTTTGCTATGTCAGGGAGATTGTAGATCATGGAATAGGATATACCATCTTGTCCTGGAGCTGAATCCTTCCTTTTGAGGCAACATTCAAGTTCTTGTCTATTAAATTGAGATTCTAAACTAGGATTCTTAGATTTAAAACACGGAGGTAAATTAGTTACATAATCTGGAGTTAGCGATCTAAGTAGATCGTTTTGTTTTTCAATGGGGGGGCACTCCCTTTTTTGGTTATAGCCTTTCATCCACTTCATACGACGCCACATCTCCGGTACAGATATGACTTCATCAAAAGAATTACAAAATTTTTGCCAACTAATTAACTTAGCATTTCTAATAAGTCTTTGGGACTCTGAAGTCTTAGATTCTAATTCATTTAAATTTTGTGGCGTGGGGTTTTTACGAATTTTTTTTAAAGCTAACTTTCGCTGTGCAACTATTTTAGATAATTGGAGCGTCCAATAATTTTTGGGTTTAAATTTTTCATCTGGTTTCAATCTTAGCTTGATATACGGTATATGTTTCTCAGCTGCGTATTCAATTGAATTTACAAAGAAATTATACATTTTCTGAACATCGACAGTATATGATTTTTTATCCTCTACCATAATTTTTTCAAAAACTGATTGACTATATTGACTCCAATCGGCGTTTTTAAAATTGCGCTTTTTAATGTTGTATATGGTGAAAACAAAATTAACCGAGATTTTAATGATAAGGTGATCACTGCCTAGATTTTCATTGAACACTTTCCAATCACATTTTATTGCAATATCAGATGAGCAAAACGTTACATCGGGAGAAGTTTGTTGAAAGCTTCCATTAACCAACTTAACCCGGGTTGCCGCACCGTTATTGACTGAAATAAAGTTATTTTCAACAGCTGACTCCATAATTTGTATACCCCTCACATTCGATTTCCCTGACCAATTAGTGTGGTGGCCGTTAAAGTCTCCCGCAATTATGGTTCTATTAACAAAATGAGAAAAAAGGTCGTTCCAATCATTTGGTTGCGTACGTATAGACGAAGGACAGTAAATCGATAGAATATATTCTAGGTCTTTACAATTAAGTAACTTAACACACACCGTTTCGATCCCTTCGTTACGAACATTGAGAGCAACACGATGAGCTTGAATTGACTTATGAACTAGTAACGCAACGCCGCCATAACAATCAGTTCTATCATTTCTATACACGTTATAACCACTAATATTAACGTCGTACTTACAATCAAACCATGTTTCGCTAATTAAGGCTATATGAATATTTTCTTTTACTAAGAATTCAGAAAAGGATATAAGTTTAGGACGTAAGCTTTGTGAATTCCATTGAATTATGTTCAGCTTTAGAATTTTATGCGACTTATCCATTATTGAAAAAATTCATATTTTCCATAAATTCTTCACCAAATATCACATTAACCAGCAGCTTTGTAAGTTCTTGAACCATGATTTTTAACGTTGTTAAAAGTTTTTCTTCAAATTTACCCTCGGCTCTATAAATATCTTTTACTTGACTCCACACCTTCTTCCATTCAAATTTGCTTGAGATGTGTGTATTACTCTGATGACTATTTCTTTTTTCTTTAATTGTTTTAACCTTGTCGAGATCTGCGGATAAATCTAAGTTAACCTGATCTTTTTTAAGAGATTTACGAACATTTTTTATGTGTTTTTCATGCGTTATGCTAGTTGTACCCTCTTTTATATGAACATTTGCGTTTTGTCCTTGATCCTCTTCTGTATTCGATTTTTCTTGGTGTATAACAGCTTTTGTTAATACATTTCTATAAGTTTCTTTATTACTCAAAGGTGTTGGCGAAGTTTTAGCGATCTCTTCTGTTTCCCCGTCCGCGACAGGAGTTTCCATTTCTTTCTTCTCTATAAAAAGTTGAAGGGCTTTTCTGTATGTGACTTGCTCTTTACTCATGATTTTTCTAATGTCTTTCTCTTTAAGAAAGACGGGACATCTCTTATCTAGAACAAAATGATTCCCCTTACAGTTTAAATTGTAATCTTTAGTGTCACAATTTTCATGATTACCTCCGCACTTTGGGCATTTAACTTTTTTGGAAGAGCAGTATTTAATAACATGGCCAAATTGCCAACAACCCGAACATTGTGTTACTGGAAATACATATGGTTCCACTTTAAATCGACAGTCATAGGCATAAACATATTGAGGTAAAACATTGCCTTTGAAATTCACTCTTACAGACTCACAATCAATCCATTTTCCTTCAGAATTTAACCGTTTTAAATATCGTTTATCTTACCGATAAAATATCAGCACTTGAACTTAAAATATTTGTAAGTTCTTTTTCAGTTATTTCAAGATCGATCCCTTTTACTACTCCGTACGATATTGACATCTCCTGTATTAATTGACATCGAAAGTCCATATCTTTGAACTTTTGACACTCTAGTAGGTTAATAGCATCTTCTTTCCTTTGTAAACGAATAAGAACTTTGTTTGAGCTTTTATATTTTATTCTTAAAATGTCTTTTATATTTTCTGATCGAAGCAATTTCGCTAATGCTATTGGTTTAGGTAAATTATTCACAGATGTAACACAAACTTCATGATTATTTAATATTTCGGATGTGCGGGTGTTTTCCTTACTTCTCACTTCTATATGTTCCTTCCTTATCAAACGTTTGGGCCCCCTTCTAGTCACAGTAATAAAGTCATCTTCGCTATGGTCATCCTCTCGATCCTTTCTTTTTTCTGCCATCCGAATTTCTCCCTCAGCACTTTTTCCACTTAGCATAATCGTCTCGTCCCTCTTCCTTAATTCATTTAGCTCTCTTTCACATTTCTCCAAGATTGCTGAGTCACTTAAATCTTCTCCACTCGAATCGTCCTCCATTTTTCATAAAAACAAATTATGTGGGTATTTGTAAAAAAATAACTAGTGTTATTGCTACTCGTAGTGTTATGCGTACGCTCGGTTCAACGTCTCGCTGCACACTGAGAAGACTTGGGTCATATATATTGTTTTACTTGAGGAAGCAGTCTTTTTAGGGTTCCATACCCAAGAGGGTAAAACGTGACTCTATTACTAAGACCCTCCTGTCTGTCTGTCTCCAGGGTATCTCATGAACCGTGGTAGTTTAAATTTCCAAATTTTCATATGATGTATTTACTTTGCCGCTATAACAACAAATACTAAAAAAAAACATAATTAAGAAACATTTAAGTGGGTCTCCCATACAACGAACACGATTTTTTTCCATTTTTATAGATAATGGTACGGAACCCTTCGTGTATGAGCCAGATTTGCAATTGCCTGGTTTTTTTTAATATATTTTAGATCATTTAGATTATTATAGCTATTGCAGCTTAGGGCTTTGCTTTGACAATTTAATATGCTTACAAAAATTATATCTTTAAAATAATATAACTATAATAACTTGACAATTTTAAGGTAACTTATATATTTAAAATACAATAATCCATAGTAAATAAATTAAGATCTTTACAGAACATACCAATGAAATAAATAATGTTTGTTTTTTTTTTATAAAGGCAGTGTTTTGCATATCTGACCTGAGCTTACATGATAATCACTCTAGTGGTAAGAATAGCAGACAAGTAAGTGATAAGATATTGTAATCTATATCTTAGAGAATAAAATATTGATTATGGCTATTGGAAGTTTTTCTTAATACTGTTTAAATGTGTTTTTATATTTTTTAACCATAATAAAGTGAATAAAAAGATTCACATTTACGTGTGAAGTTGTACAGCGTGGTCTGAGATTGGAATACACCTATAAATTATGAGTAAAAATTTATCATCTGTAAGTTGACTTAAAGGGATGTATTAAATGGCAAAAGTAAAATATTTTAAAGATTAAAAACTTTTGTGATAATTATGATTCATGCAAGTGTGCTTATTAAATAAGGAACAGCAAAATTAGTATTTTTAATTTCAATTGTGTATTAAGACTAACATAACAAATATGCATTTGAGAAATTGAAGGTAATTAGTAACCTGTTATCTAATTAGAAGTACATTTACATTAATGAATGCCAAAATTACTTGTTTCAATCTTGAAATAAGAATAAAAATAAATATGTTCATAGTAGAGATATAATAATTTTAGTTTTTTTAGTTTAATGCAGATCTTATTTTGGAATATTCACATAGATATATATATATATAATAGCAAAGGCCTCTCTTTAGAAGGTATTAAGGCATAGTTCACTATGCAATCCCACTGCAGATTAGTGGATTTTACATATCTTCAAAAAACATTTTTATAAAATTATTTTGAAAATATATAGGATTCATCATAATTTTTTCCTTCACCGCTGAACATGTGATAAGTCAACATTTAAAATTGCAATTGACAATTACATTGGTGCCAGCACTGGGATTTGAACTAAGGTTACTTGAGTATATTAAATTGAAAGTGAGCAAAAAATTGAATCATGACTGTGCAGCTACCGGTATTCAAAGGTTTCGTAATTTACTAAAAGTACTAACTACTAGTTGAAACTTTAAATTTATGACTTAAGTAATAGATAGGTAAATGATAATTTCATTGTCAAAATGACATTAATTATAGTTTAATTCAATAACTTGGAAAAAATAAATACGAACACCTCAAAATAAGTATAATGCTTAATCCATAAGTAACCTAATTTTTTTAAGTGAAACTACATACCTGTTCTGTCATACTCTGAAAAGGCAGAGCACCCAAAATGACATGATCGTCTATTCTGTCATACCAGCGTCTGCTCGTCATTTTCTCCATGAAAACATTGTACAGCAACGTTGGATAAAAAGTAACTCGTGCAAACATCGCTGTCCCCTGTCAAGATACAGTTAAGTTAACGGTGTTCATACAGAGTCCGTGCTCACGACAGAACACTGTGTAAAACAGGCTATGAAATGCTACCATGATAAAATGAAAGCTGGGTGCTGCTTGTGGTGGGGATTGAATTAATTGTTTGAACAATATTACGAGCGCATTCAAGATGGTTTGTTTTGACAGCAACAGTCAAATTTATTGACAGATGTCGTCCAGAAACTGTATATTGCAATTTGTTACAAGTTAAATTGGTGGTTAACCAGAAAGTACCAACTTATACCAAAGAAAATGCGAATTTCGAATAGATATATAATAAAGGCACTGATTTAAAGCGGCAGTTGTATATTGTAATTGTAGTTTTGGTAAATTAAAAGAAACAAAATGCATATTTATCAACAAGTTCTGAAGTAAAAGCTTAGCAGTAAAGTGAAGAAAAATAAATCTTAAAATAAATTAAATCGGTGATAATTAAATCAGTCTAAATTTTAGGTGAATTAAACGTAGCACTAGATAGCAAATTTGTGGTATACATATATTGCAATAGCTTGCCTTCGCGACGGAAAGGTTGCCTCACTCTTGATTCTATGTTTTTACGCTACTAGGGAAGATTCGACCTAGAAATACGGCATACGATATTCTGGTAGTATCCGACCCAACGAATCTAGAACCTGTCCATTTAACTTAACTAGACGTTACCTCCTCTATCTTGTCTTCATCCACAATCTCATGAGGTACCTGGCTCTCAGGTATATTCCTCATATAGGGTAAGGTACTAATGCGCGTACATGTACGTACCTTTAGAGCTTAAAACTTTTAATGTATTAACAATTGCCGAACAAAACTTTTACAAGTTTAACCTTTATACTTTTGCACGAGATTAAGTTAATCTAATATAATACTAAGTATAAATGTGATTGTTTTCCTAGGAACCGTCTATTAAACTAGGAACTTTAAAAAATCTCTGCCTTTTTGGGCGAAGAAACTAATTTTACACAGCATAAAATTGCTCGTGATAATATCACAGGCGCCTAATGACATCAGTAAATTTGTTGGAGAAAAAAACGAGATCTCTAAATATGTGAAGTTAGTTTTGCCATGGGTAGTGTCTTATGTCATTTATTTTCTATACACAACTGGAAACTAGTCATGTAAAAGTACATACCAACAGCCTTTTAGTGTGGTAGGTCTAAGCAGCAGCTTCTACTGTTGTACGAATAGGCAGACTCGTCCGGGGACGTACCAAGGCCTCACAGTAGACTGGCATATAGATGAAGTATTATACTTTTGTTCTTGAGAAATAATGCAATTATCAAAAGCATTAGTACCGGCACTGAGATTTTTACTATGATTGATCGATCATCTAAAGTGAACAAAGTGGTGACAGTGAGGATTCACAGCTTAGTGTCTTCGCTTGTTCGCCTATACATTATGAGATATTTATTTGAATAATGTATTTTTTGGATTTTAATGCTGATATTTTTTAGATCCACGCTTAATTATTAGGCGATCATTATTAGTGGGTTAATAAATTGTAGTAATAATCTTATGGTTTTTTAAACCAAGTTCACATGTTTTTCAAACTAAAGAATTATCTACAGAAACATTAATGTTCATGAATAATTTACAAACGGGGCTAAATAATAAAGTTTTTTATTTGTTACGCTAGAATAAGGGCCCAGCGATTTGTTTTTTTTTTTAATCTAATTAATGTTGCTTTTATGCCCAATTTGCTAATTTTTCAATGGGCTAGTTTTATTTTGGCGAAAATTGGACTACTTATATTGTTATGTATTAAAAGATAATAGGTTATAGCTCAGTGTCCTTGCGATCGCTTTTAATTTGGCATTCTCGAGTAATGCTAATTTTAAATCTCTTATCATGTGCTTGGCGGTGAAGGAAAACCTGAATATTTTCAAAATAATAAAGTAAAGTATCAGTCTATACATGTCCCACTGCTGGGCAAAGGTCTCCTCTGTCCAGACGGTATAGGGAATAGTCCTATAACCCCACTGTGGATTTGCAGACGTCATCTTCGAATTTTTTTATTATTATTTAAAATATGCAGGTTGTCTGACGATTTTTTCTTTCACCGCTGTGTACGTGATAAGTCAGCATTTAAAATTGCAAATTACAATTTCATTGGGATTTGCACTCATGTTGCTCGAGTATACTTCATTAAAAGCCCATAAATTAGATTGGAAAAGTTCGCAGTTCTTTTCTTTTATATGACAAGATATTTATTAAACGAATTTGATTAGAAATTTACATGAACATAGTTTAGAGTTAAAAGTGATGAGGGAAGTATTCGTTATGCAAATGATCCTAATAAACCTCGGGTTGTAGTTAAAAATAGACCACGTAATAGTGGCCACGTCATATGCATATCTTTCCTCCGGAGCTTTTTTGTAGTGTAGATTATTAATTCGCTGCCCACGGCGGCCTTCTTTCAGAAATCGAAAGAGATATCATCGGCGTGATGTATCGCCGCCATTTGTAGCGCGCAGCGGGGCGCGGGCCGCGGCCGTTCGAATTCGAAATTAAATTAAAGAGCGGCAAAAACAACGTTATCGTCCGTTGTGCGTATCTGAATTGTCACGGAAAAGTAAATTTGACTGTTTGTCCGTTACTGTTTATTTCAATGCGCGACCTAGAGCTTTTCTTTACATTGCAGCTTTCATGACTGCTCCACATAGTAGGTAGTAGATTTTTGATTGCTTATGAATAAATAATATCAGTGATAAAAATGTAGTTGAATAATTTCAAGCATATTACTTACCTATATTTTTTCTACTACAAATTTTTTCCATTACTACCTTTTCTTAAAATATTGAGAAAAGTATAAGTACTTGTAGCTTTATCACAAATAAGTTTTTAAACAAGCAAAGTCATGGTCCGGCGCTAGTTACAACAGATTCGATCTGCACTAATTTGTCTATGACTCCCGTAACGTAACAATTTTAAGTAAAAAAAAAAAAACTTTTGTCTTTGTTCCTCTTTTATTCTACAGATAATTAATTAATTTTATCACGATTCAGAGTTCTAGGAAACGTTGCGGGCGGGTCACGGGTCAAGGAATAACGAGTAAATAATTAAATTTAATGATGCACATTCGTTTCGAGACACACAAAGGGCGCGTATCTACATGTCATTGCTCATGATTTCACGCTTTTAGTATAAACACACGTTAAAAATAATTAAACATGGCGATAAGGTTGGGCAGATGTCATCATTTAATTATAATCATCTAATCTATAACAAGAAAGTATTCAATTTGAATATTTGCTCATTACGATTTAAGTTTGTTCACCCTCACCGACCTAATAGTAATAATAGAAGGTGAGATTTCCAGGTAGGACGTTCGAAAAACTATGTAGGCGACTGGGATTTGAACCCCATCATTTGAGATCACGGGTCGATGTGTTACCTATGTGAACATGGCAGTTCTACTCCATCATGATCATTATGTAGAGGCCGTCAGCGGAATTTGTAGTTCTTGTGGCTGTGTTCTTCAAATGAACGATTGATTTTGCTTGCTATAAGGTATTTTTTCGCCACCTCCTCAATGATAAATACTTTAATCATTTCGCGAGACCATCGAGGAGTTTGTGGTCCAGTGGGCCCGTCGCATGTACGACAGGGCCGACAGCGGACCACACCCACACCTGCAAAATATTGCACGCCCGTCCTCTTGACGGACGCCCGCTTCCGCGAGAGCTACTGCGGTCGGAACAGGCGACTGGGGGCCGGACCCGACCGCACTTCCGCCGTGAAGACGATGTCGTCCTAGCGTTACACATCGTGCTTAACGCCGTAAATCCGCCAGAGCCGCTACCGCGGTCAGAGTAAGGGACGGCCGCTGGCCATCCTCACCACCGACCAGCCTTGCTGGTCGAGACTACGCCCGAGAACTTTTATGAACCGATTTTGATGATTCTTTTTTTGTTGGCAAGGAGATATCCTATATGTGGTGGGTATCCAGGAGATGGTGGTACCATGATAAGGAAACCCGGATCTGATGATGGCATCCCAGAGAAATCGAGGGCCATCCTCAAATGTTATAGGTATTAACAATATTTTTAGTTTCCTGTTTGAAGTCGGTTCTTTTTTTGTTAAAAATTATCTAGGATCTCATGATGTACAAGACTAAAATAGAAAAATAGAAGTAGGAAAAACCATTAATATATTTGATACATTTTACAAATCACCATTTGTACAAAAGAATTTCTAAAAATTATATAAATTCTTCTCTAATAAAGTTCTTAGCACAGTAGTGAAATTATTCATTTTTAGGGTTACTCGACCAAATTATTACTAAAACTCTGCAGTCTGTCTGACTGTCCGTCTGTCACCAGGCTGTATTTCAGGAATCGTGATAGTTACACAGTTGAAATTTTCACAGATGATGTATTTCTGTTGCCGCTCTAACAAAAAATACTAAAAACAGATTAAAAAAATATTTAAGAGGGGCTGCCATACAACAGACATGATTTTTATGCCGGTTTTATAGATAGCTAGCTGCCCATGATTATGTCTGCGTAGAATAGGCTGAAGGCGTAACATTCAGATAGAAAGACATGTTCGGTTCAATATTGAACCGAACAGCTTTGTTTGCACTTTTTACCTAAAGTCCATCAATACGTTGTAAGCATTAAAATATACCGCGACAAACGATCAGTTCACGGTCATCAAGTAAACCACGCGTTGTCAAAATATCATACCTAATTATCATATTATCAGTATCATTTTAACTATATCAATTTAGTAATAAAGTGTCCTTATAATTTATAGCCTACGTCTTATTCTTATGTATAAGCTAAATTATTGTAAAGTTTCATTAAAATCCATTCAGTAGAAACTTTAACCACACATAAAAACTTTCGCGTTTATAATATTAGCAAGGAAGTAAGGATACGGTACGTTGGACTTGCATTTGGCCGGTTTTTATATCACACTAGCGTCCTGCCACTGCTTCGCACGTTAAAAAGAGAATTATTATTATTAATTATATAGGAGGCAGATTATATTTTTGCACTCATATACATTATATTGGTGCAGTACACTTATTTATATAAATTAACAAATTATAGATATATCTTATGTCAATTTAATTTAAACTTTAATAATCTTTTACATACTTCTAAATACTTAATATGAATGAATAATCTATACTTTATTGTTCCCCAAGAAAGAGAAAATAAAATTTTATACTCATTTTATTTCAAAGTACAATCGGCCGAATTTTTAATGCAAAATAAATTAAAAGTGGGAGAGTATGTTGAGTTACTTTTCATTACGATTAATTTTCTTTTATATAAAGTGTTTACTAAACTTTGAAAACATTCCTTACTCAGTGAATCAGTCAGCAGCAATCAGTCATGGAGTAACCTTTATTACAAGATTTTTTTCATTTACCATCTTTAAAATTTAGCTAATATAGTAGCGATGTTGGTTGTAGATTCATTAAAAATGCAAAGAGTAAATGCCGTACAGGCTTACATTTCTATAAATACAGACGCCATGAACCACCTACAGCGGACACGGCAATTATCGTGCGATATGAAATAATTTACCAGAACGTTTTTTACCCGCTCTCGCCGGCTAAACTGATCACTTCGGAGAGCCGACATAAAATGCATTAAGCCTCGATACGATATCTCATCTGTCATCATTAATGCCACAGCATCCTAATAAGTTTGCTACAATAAATAAAGGGGGGTATATCAAAGAAGTGCGCTCTGCTAACGGTAGGGTTGCTAGGAAATTGGGAAATTCCAGGACACAATATTTAATTTTTCAATTCGAGCTTGATGAAATATTTATTTTAATAATTATAACGTATACTTGTGATGTCATCGACTATAAATAATGCAGCTTTGGCAAATAAAACTGCAATTAGTAGTTTGTAAGCAGCAATGTAGCTAAGCCGTATACTCTTCGAGATGGCCCAACTAACCCAATACACAGTGCAAGGTGCCTTTGTAAATTAAAATTGCCTACTTAAAGGTCCACATGTTGTGTAGAAGCGTCAGTTGCAGCTGATAGTTAAGAGTGCGAGTCATGGTTAACTCAACAGACGAAATGAAAAAGTATAATTGTTCCAACTTCACGATGGGCTTCTATGAGGGTGTGGTATTACCACGGTCATTCGTCTTAATACCACAGAGCTATGCTGACCTATTCAAGCATGAGCAAAATGCAAAATGACATTGGTTTCACAAAAAAGAAGACTTGTCAACATTTTTTTTTCAACAACTTTATGTTCCTCGCAGATTTAGGATCTTTAGGCGTATCTTGATGCAACGGGACGGTCCGAGGGTCTAAGGGATGGGGGAGACCCTTGCGGGTTGGTTTTATTGTGGCCAAGTGAAATATGGCGGCGTGCGGTACGGGCCCTGTCGTGGGTGTGTCGCCGCCTTAATATCGACGTTTACACGCCGTAAATATTTTAAACGATCGCGCCGATGCCGCGCTCGTTTGCATAAGTTCAGGCGGAACTGTTTGATTATTCGCACTGTCGTTAACGGAATTAATGTGAAAGTTTCCCTTTAATAATAATGGTGGTAGTAAAGACGGCAAAATTCTAAGGCGGGAGGACGCTTACTGCGGTAGTTGTGGTACCTTTACCCCACGCAACAGTCTACGCTGTTGCACGAATGCGCATGTCCGTCCGGGGAAGTACCGCGACCTCACAAAAGACCGGCGTAAAGGGGAAGTGTTATATTATCTGCGTTTCGTCTGGTGAGTGGGGTAACCGGGGCCCACTTTGAAGAAAGGTGGCAACGCATTTGTAAACATACTGGTGTTGTAAATGTCCATAAGTGGCGGTTATCACATAGCATCAGGTGAATCAGCAGCTCGCTTGCCATCTCCTTACACAAAAAACTCGCCACACATGACACAATGGAAATAAATAAATACACAATGGAAATAATAAATAGAAATCATAGGTTTCGTAGGTATTAATACGAATCCCTTTTCAAGTAGCTTATTTCAAACCACTGAAGTAACTCTTCGACTTTTAACCAGTTCCAGGTTAAATAAACAATGTCTAACACATAAAAGACAAAAAATGTTTGAAATAAGCCACAACTTCGAGCAGGGGAGAGCGTCTGATTACTGGCATATGTCGCGGCATATAAGTTGCGGACATCCAGAGGAATGTCCGACACAGAAGCGGAATTCGGGGCCGCTGCGCATAAATAGGCCCGTCCGTCCCGGGACGCTCATTTGCGTGCGAGAAGCGCTCGGAAGAGTTAAAGCCCTCGCGCTTGATGAATGGCGGTGCCACGCGCGCCGCGGCTTTATATTCAAATCGGCCATTGAAACGCGGCCGTCGTCTATGCCGTTGACAATCCGTTTGCCCGCGAAAAAAAAACACGGCCGCCCGTCATTCGGCCTGCGCTCTTTTGGGGCCGATACGCATCTGGCTCCCGCGGAACGATCCCGGAGACGCGTTGCTCTTATTTCGCGCCGCGATTGTGCCCGGGAGATCTGCGTCGAGATATTTGACGCGGGCGACTGATAAAGTTAGCGTTTCGCGGCGGCCGCGACTTTAACGAGCCGCTGAGTAATGAGACGCGCCATTGTGATCCCAACAATGGCCGCTTCCGACCGCCATTGTTTCTATCATTTTAAATGATGGCGGATTGCGAAGGCAAAGGCTTTATTGGGTTATACCATCTGTCTCTATTCTTTATGGCGTTCTATGTCTCAATATAGGTAGGAACATTATAAATCATAATAGGTTATACACAATGTAAGTTTGATATTTTTCGAGCTGCGTGGCTCACGTTCCTCTGTGCTCACTTTAGGAGTGGAAGTTTTACATAATTAGGTGGAACTTATTTGCGAATTTCTTAGTCCAAAGGTTGATGCAAATCCGATGGCTGAGATGCGTTGGACGGTCGCCGATCTGCATACAATGAGATGCGGCAACGCTCCAGTTTAACCGTAATTTACTGCTGATGCCCTCGCTTAGATGTCGCTCCGAGATAGCTGCCGCCTAATTTAAAGCATATATTCTTTCCTTGTATTTTGCTACGTTGACAAACGCACTTCCAAAGTTCCTTTGCCCTCTGCAAATCGAAAAATAAAAATTGAGTTTATATAACTGCGACTGTTGTAAAAAAGGAAATGATTTCATTATCTTATAATACTATGTCATTTGGTAATACAAACTTGTATGGATAACTTGAGAATAAATTTTACTTTCTTATTGTAAATATAAGTCATCCGGTACAGAATATATCGTAAGACGTATATTCAGAATCAAAATTTTGAATCATAAGTAAGGATAATCATTTCCACCGAATTATAGTTGGCATTAAAGTTTATGTATGTATAAAAAGAAATAAGTAACAAGCAGACGAAGGGTAAGGTTTTAATAAACATTGCTACTTAGTATCAGTTGACCACCAATTACAGCGTTCGGAACGCCCTCCGCTGACAAATTGCCGTGCGCCTCCGCGCCCTTTTTACAATATGGCTGCCCAGTGTCGAGAAATTAAATTGGCGGTTTTTAATGTTCTTTATTTATAACTCATATTTCTTCATTACACACGTTTAATATTACGCAAATTATGCGACGAAATTTGTTTTTTTTTAAATTCCTTCGAGGAGGTATTTATGAGGCTTAACGTAACATTCTTGTGATATTTAATAAATATAATTATTAACGTAGGTGTCAAAGTGCTAAAGCTGGTAAGGAAAGTTTTGCGATTCCAAAATTTATGACGTTATTAACATTCATTTCGCAAGTGCTAATCCTCCAAGGCATATTTATGTAAGGAACATATTTCATGCAGCGTTCATTTCGACTTAATTCAACCGTGGTAACCTTACATTTTATTTTACAGAAGCTTTATAAATGTTATTACTTAGCGAAATCAGTCCGGAGTGTCTAAACACAGAAGCTAATATATTCACTCGTGTAAACACTATATAGACGATAATTACTCACATAATTATATGGTTTTGTTGATAATTAAAGCGATTCGCTAATTAATGTGTTTAAAGGGCCGTAAAGCTGTCTGAGCAACTCCTAAGAGCCGTTCCAATCCATACATGTTACAGTTATGGCGCTTTTAACTGTCGATAACTCTATCGTAACGGCGCTTTTTGATGCAAACGACAACAATTAAAAAGAAAGATGGCGCTGGAGTGAAAATTCGCAGGTGCAGTGAAACGTGCACGGTTAAATTATTCGAAACGTAAATCGACATTGCGGTCGTAAGGACGGACGTGTTTATTTGATACAATTATAGACTTAATAATTAGCGGGCTTTGTTTGCTTTAATTGTAATAAATTGCGCCGTGGATGCTGGTGTACATCGAGGGCATCGACATCTTTTATTTACGACTTCAGCTTATTTTTTTCTAAATCATAACGGGCCAGAACTTTCGGATATTCTGATTTTAATAATGCCGACAGCGAGAGCCCTTTACCATGTCATTTTTTTATACGAAAAATTGTCAAACGAGCAGGCGGTTCACGTGATGTTAAGTTTGCACCGTCATCCATGGACATCCACAAACCTTGCGCCACGAGAGCTTGCAGATATGATGACAACTTTTAAAGAAGTGGGCGCCGGCCACCTCACTCACCAGATAAATCGCGAAGGTATAATACTTCCACTTCACACTGGTCTTCAGTGAGGCCATGGTACTTCCCGAACGAGTCTGCCCATCCGTGCAACAACAGAAGCTACCCTACCACAGTAAACGTCATGTTTACAAATTTATTTTGAAGCTTCCTCTGATATCGTTTTTTAAAAATCCTCTTAAGAGGTTTATGCCACAGCTCATTTTAAATGTGGTAACAAAACGAATTGTAGTTATTATTTATTTTTATTTTATGCGAAAAGTTATCAAACGAGCAGACGGTTCACCTGATGTTAAGTGAATACCGCCGCCCATGGACATCTGCCAAAGCCGAGGGTTACAGATGTGTTAACAACCTTTTGAAAATTGGGCTTCGGCTACCTCACTCACCAGACGAAACGCGAAAGTATTTTTCATAGTCATACTTCCACTTTACGCTGGTCTTCTGTGAGGTCGTGGTACTTACCCGGACGGGCCTGCCCATTCGTGCAACAGCCGAGGCTGCTGCGTGGCCCTACCACCGTAGTTAGTGAATCTTATGAAGAAATAATAATTTTTTAACCTCATTTCAAAATTGTACCAACACGCGATTTTTACAACCATATAGGTACTAAGCAAAGTCTATCAAAAGAACATTGGTTTACGAGATTCCAAACACGTTATAATCCTTATTCGAAGAATGAAAGCAGTAGACCCTGTTGTTAAAATATTTTACATTACTCGTATTAATTTTAGTTTCGAAATAATCCAGATAGCTCGACCTCGAGATTTACCGATAACCAAATCTGTTACCGGAAGACCATGGTGGGTCATTTAAAACGCGTGCGCTATTAGGCCTCTGTCCGACGCACAATAAACAATCCCCAATCAATTACCAGCAAATGACCTCATGTTAACTTCCCACATCTATCTGCCGCCCGTTCGAATCGAGGCTGAATGAGATAGATGTCGAAACAAAAGGAAAATCCAAACGGCCGAAGAATTCAATTCAAATCCGCGGCCATTGTTGTCTGCCGAACTCTTTGTTTGGACGATTTTTAGCAACCGATCACCGTGCCACAGCCAGGACATGGTTTCTGATGTACGGTGCCGATGGATTGGGAAAGTATGGAACTGTTGTAATGATAGATCATGGAGAAAGTAGATAAATATTTTATTTTATGTGAGAAAGTGGCAACCGTGCTATCGGTTCACCTGATGTTGAGTGATAACCGCCTGCCCATGGACATTTGCAACACCCGTTGCAGATGCGTTGCCAGCTCTTAAGATTGTGGGCCCCGGCTACCTCACTCACCAGACGAAACGCAGAAGTGCAACACTTCTACTTTGATATTGATAAATATGTACATTATATTGCTGATCCATTCCTATGTAATATTTATAGTACTGCTGAGCGGCCCGGCAGTGCGATATATATATGTATGTATATATATATATATATATATATATATATATAAATGATGGGACTTAAAATGTATAAAGGGATAGAAGAAGCGGTTTCGGTGAGAAATATTGCCAAACATTTGCAACGAACACCGGCTCTCTTCTCTTTTGCATTGGCTCTGATCTTTATGCACCCGTCAAAGCTATAATTTGAAGAGATCTCAATACCCGGCATTTGAGCTGAAGTACTCTAACGATACATTCCGAGAAGTAGGAGCCAAGGTTCGTTTTTGCCGTGAAAGTTCCATTTGAGACTTCCCGCAATGTGAGATTCGCATGCTCTATCAACTTCCCTTTTTTCAGAACAAATTGCATTTCCACTTGCCAAAGTACTTGGTGGGTAACCTTCCACAACTTTGGGGAGTCTTAGTAATAGGTTCCCGTTATACCCTTTGGGTACGGAATCCTAAGAACACCCTAAAGCCTAAAACAGTTTGTCTCTACTAGGACACCTATAGAAACTCAAATATTAAATTACACTCAAATAAATATAAAGTATAGATGTTAAGATGCCTTTCTCCGTGAGATACGATGAAATCGTTAAACATGAAAAGACGAAGATTTTATATTATTTGATTTATTCTTTTCTTAACCAAGGACTAAATTTTCTTAAAAAAAAACTTTTGTGTCTTATTTAAAGAAATCAATAAAATTTATAGTAGAGAAAACTATGGACATTCAAGAATTTCCAAAATTATTTGGGACATCATCTTTCGTAAGCAGAAGAAAGCGGTTCGTATTTCAAACGTCAATCCGTCTTCCTTATTTAATGTTTTATCAAACGGTTTTGGCAAATTTCTCCAGATTTAAGAGAGTTGCGTGCTTTGGCTCAGCATTGGATGTTAAAGCCTGGTTATGTTTTTTATTATTTAGTTCATTCTTCGTCCTGTTGCATTTGAATATCAATAGTATTGAATTTGAAAGAATATTTTTTAAAGTTAGTTATTAATACAAATTATCAATGAACATCGCCTATCGTGTCAATCTGGTAAACTAAAAAATACTTTTATACGAGGATCATTAACTGTCGTCAATTTTCAGAGATATAATAAAAATACTTTAAGGGTCCCGGACCATTTGATCGTGTTTTCGAACCTCAAGTAGTTAAAAACTTTATCCGAATTAGATTCTCCGGCAGAAGTAAATGACAGTAGTACCGCAAATACGATTATATGGTTTCTTACTTCACATGTTTATTTTTATTATTACAAATTATAATTTTATGTTAAGCGATTGACTTTCTCAAGTAGTTAAACCTTAATTTTATTCGAATATATTCAGAACTTTCAAACATCATTAGCAACGTTTTAACGAAACAATTAATCCTTGCCGAGCTCGCCAACAAATCACCAACTCCATTAACAGTTTTGACGTGACGTCACTCGACATCAATGCCGTTTGTCAAAGTGACGTCGGCTGAGACATCACAATATATCATAGACTATTGTGTTCGGTGATGTTCGATTTTTGGGTTCT